AGGATACCCCAATTTAAGACCTCCCATCTGTGCGCCCTCCCTGCAAGCGTCCTCTTTCCTTTTTGGGTACTAGGGGGTGCATGTATACGCCAGTACACAAGCTCCGTTGACACGACTTCCAGCATAGCATGCACCTCAGCCCTTACTCAAACAGAACGGTCCACTGCCTTTAGCCAATTCGCCTTCCACAGACGGAATGATGAGGTTCAAAAACAGATAAAACTGGTCATGACTGAGTGTACCTTTTTTACGGTTGCGTACGTGTAGCATTTTAGAAAAAGAACAATCTTATTGGTCATCGTGCCTATCAACTAACTACTCTGTACCATGTTACTACTACGCATACTGGCTCATAAAAGCTGAAAACTGTTTACAGGGTAATCAATCGGGCATATTTCCGTAGGTTATAAAACGCTGTATGCTGTGATGAATATGGGTAATATAGTTAATTGTTCATTTACAGCCAATGGAGTTTTATCAGCACCAGCTAAGCAGACAAACTGTATGAACGCTGCTTAACAAAATTTGATTTTTAATTATTCACGTACGTAAGTTATCTTTAAGTTAAGCTATACGTAAGTTCTCTTTGATGAGAAATTTTCTGGAACAATGGCCTGATTTTAACAACACACCTTCCTTAATATGTGATAAAACTAATTTTTTCTTTCTTTTCCTTTACTCCTCAGCTTCGACCGTACCGAAATGACCGCTTTTTTAAAGCAAATACGATTTTAAAATGTGTTCTCTATTTTATTATTCCTGTGTTGCCTTCACTTGCCCATTTTCACTTTTTTTTTCTCCAAATGATCTTCTACAGCATATACCCCTCGAATAAGTTTCTGCCGATTCCAGGGCATAACAGTTGCACAATTTTGCCTGTGCCTTCGACCAGACGATGCAGTATCCGCAAGTTAAAAATGAAGGAAAAGATGATTCTAACTTGTTGGTGGTTACAAATTTGACGCTGAGCCTCGTTACCTTTACTACCACGATGGATGTGTCATCTGTATGGCGAATACGTCGTGCGTTCTTATGGCCTTATAAAGGCGTTTCTATATTCGTATCCTGTCTAGTCGACCATTACTACTTCCAACTCTTTTTTGTGGACTCTTTGTAGGTTTTTACAAGATATGAGTCCTACCACCCAGATTTTAGTGCTTCCTAGCTTGTCTCATGAACAATTACAGGTGGTAGATGTATCCAGCGTGGATTATTGTTTATATAATCCCTAAGTGAAAATAAGGTTTGTTGCAGAATGATAGAGCCTCATATTCTATTGATCATTTCGCACAAAGTATGCATGACGGTAGTTTTTCCTGGGCACGTGGTCCACACAGGAGAACCTGAATTAGCGGTTTCTGATATTCCTTATAGAAACTCGTTCCTTCTACGGCAGTGTGGTCCATACTACTCTGTCTGTGCAGCTTGATGACAATTTTAATGATAACTCAGTTATGATGCGATCCCACGCCGAGCCAAAACGCCTAGTTGGAAAATGTCTTAAGATATTCGAAAACTCCATTATTTTACTCTATCGTCTGCTTTGAAGTTTTAAAGCCTTAAATACATGAAATCTCATCACAATACATCAAAAAAGCAGCATACGGTAAGCTAGAAATGTTTTGCTATTTTTTCCATCACCTGTCTAGATAAAATATTCGAATAGGTACTTCAAGAAGCTGATCTTCGTGAAATGTGCAACAGAAAACAACGCATCCAAGCCCAAAATTCCAAGCTATTTTATTTGGAGTCGGCTTTTATAATTTGGCACCGCCTGTTAATGAGCATCTTTCTTGAAAATAAGAACGAAAATTCCGCAGTACTGAATATTGAGGCATCGTACGAGCATTTTGAATCCTTAATTCATCCAAATGAATATGCCGACTCGCATAGTCTGCTTCTATCAAGATCATAAAGCAAGATTTATCGGTACTTTCTTCAAATAGATAATTTTTGAATTGCACTAAGCTACGCCATCTCGGTTTGTCTTTGCATGAAACTCCCTAGAGCGTCCGAGCTGTTGGCGTTTTCGAAATTGAGTTTCTCCTTGGTTTTGTTCAGATATCACTTCAGATTTCTCTATTATCTCAAATTCTAGAGCAGGACCACGCTCCAGGGATGAACGTGGTCACGTAGAGATGTTTAGTACTGCGTATGTGTTCGATGTACATTCTTGTACAGCGAATTTCGCACTACTAATTGTTGTTTCGAGCGTTAGAAAATGAGACCCGTTTTGCAAAATTGGATAAAGTCGAACGAGGTTTCAAATTTTTACATAGACTACCTAACACGCCTCGGCCTTAATGATAAGAATAAACATAGGGACCGGATTACAACGAAAGGCCAGAGCTCTGCTTAGAAGCCGGGATTTAAGAGACCAAAGAACGAAAACAGCGTAAAGGCTAGTCAAAAGGCCAAGAAAGGCCGGAGTTGAGAACCGGCCGTTGCTCACTGATGAGGAGGGAAGGGAGAGTATTTTGAGAAAATAAAAGAATGTTGCTTTTGTACCTTAACAGTAGATGAGAAGACGGAAGGGGCTAGGCAGACCAATGAAACTTCATGACTAAGGAGAACTTCCTGGAAGGCAGCTGACGAGAGAGACGTGCCGGAGCGCACTCTTACCAAATTCCCGTTACCTAAGTTAAGAATTGCCTAGGCTGTTGCACGAACGCAAAAAGCATTTTTAGATTTCTCTAATAAAGTAGGTCGAATAAACAATATCGTCTCAAACTCCACACATGTGTCGGTGGAATACAAACCGTACTGGACCCAGAGAAGCTTAGCAGTGTGCTAATTGTAGAAAAATCACTAAACTCCTATCTAGGTTTGAAGATTTTTTGTTGAAGTTGAAAGCAGGAATACTTGAAACCGATTTTATTTTGCCTTGGGTACTGTTCCAAGAAGTAATTACCCGAAAACGTAATCCAGTCTTGCGTTCTTTACAGCATGCGCTTCTAAAATAGACGCAATTATACGTATATTTATTACAAGGTCCAAACAGTAACGGGTTGTGAAAGTTATAATTCTATAGGTCGTACGACTGTGATTAGGTCAGACGGCCTGATCAAACGACTACTCTCCGAGTCATGTCATATTCTGTACATGATCTATTTGTTTACGGTTACGAACAAATGTACGCCTCGGATGTTGCGGAGACATTTTACGAAAGTTGTGTGCCACAATAAAATCAGTTTGATTCAATATATCTACGTAAATGGCGCGGCCATGCACCTTAAGGTTGCTGTTCATTGTCACTGCTTACCAATTAGCCATAAGTATGCCCCCCAAACAGTTAAGATGGACACTGTTGGCGTGACATAAGCCATGTCCGTTAGCACGACGGTGCCTCCTTCCGGCTATATCATAGTGTCGCATTAGGGTCTGTAATATCTTCACAAGTTAGATTTTTATATCTAAACAAGTTATAGTGGCCCGTCTGCTTAATTCAGCAACAGCATGTATTCGCTCTGTGTGGGCCTAAAGCTGGCTAGGATTATGGCTGCTATTGAGCTCATGCCCAATTCATGTTCGACTCACCCGCAATTCATTGATTCTATTAGAGATACTATTGGAATTAACTATTGCAATATAACTGCAAGCACGAGAAGTGTATGAAGAATAGCGCCAGATTGTAGTTAATTATTCTTATACGATTTTATATATACTTAACTTTAATTAGTTTTTATTAAAATCAACCGCACGATATGTATTGTATATATATATATATATATATAGTTTATAAGCTTTGCAAGAAATAGTAACGCAATTTGTGATCAATAAGTGTTTCCGATAAAGCAGGTGCCGTTAATTATTAGTGCGAACAATATCCAGTAAGTGGGTAGAACTCAATACTCACGACGCAGTTTATGCGATATAACTGTAGATAAGGCCTAATCAGTGTTGGTATAGTAAATTCTGAAATGGGGGAAACGTTTCGCGGCACAAGTTCAATCTTTTGCCACATTAATTTTTCGTGCCCAGGGCACCGATCCGGAAAGGCTAAAAGTGACGAAGAGGCCTGAAAATGATCTGCAGATCTGCAGCTACAGACTGCCACTCTGAGGCAGCTAATTCACGTTTAAGTTGAGCCTATCGAATGAGCGGGCTTTCACTATTGAACCGGGGCTTAAATGATGTGTTGCGCCCAACGGGTGACGGAACACGCTGGTGGGCGGAAAAGGAAAATGTACCAGGTTGTTCTTGTTTAAGACACGTTATGCTTTTCATAGTTGTACACGTATTCACCACGAAATTTGAACGGTAACGAAAGCATGGTCAACTCTATTCGAAGCTAACTGATACTAATTAAGTCAAGTATGTAGAACAGTTGCTTCGACGACAGCTTAGAAATTGCGTCAAATCGAGCGAGTAAGCTAAATCTTAGTCGACATTAGATTTTATAGACGAGATCCCCTCGGGCATGGTTGGCATTTATTAGCCCTCTGGAACTTATTCTGTCAGAGGATTTGAATTAAGAATCGAATCTCAGATGCATGAATGGTCTGGTAAATGATGATAATTAGAGCAAAGCAGACTGATCTTTTTAGGTTAGCATCAACTGTAGTTATGATCGTAGCATTAGCAGTTTGCTTCTAAAGGACACAGTTTGCCAAGCACCCAAGGCTTTGTAATTTTGTTTTGTACGAAACGGAGTAATGGCAAAATGTACGCGTTCCTAGGCGTGACTACCACCATGCCACCGCTTTCGTTATTCGCTTTCCTTTCTTAATATCTATCCACACCACCCGAACTATCAAATCAAACGTCTCAACCAATGTGTCCTTAACCTAAACCCGGCCCTGAAACCCTACGGTCGACACGCAGAGGAGACCGCAAACTGTGACTCCAGCCGGCTTCTCCAGCTCCTCAACCTATTCCCGTCCGTTCCTTCGGCCCATCTTGTTCCAAAAAGGGGCTATTTCAGACAATGTAGACATCGTTTTCGGAGCTTGGTGGCTGCGTATAAGTTAATATTGTTATCCGACATTGTTCGTTCACAGGGCCGTCCCCCGCATTGACTGCATTTGCCTGCGCCCACAACGGCAGCCCTAGACGAGTCCTCTGCAACTGCCGCTGCACTTGCTATGGCCTCGCAGGGGGCCCCGGCTCCCGGGGACCTCGAGCTACAAAACGGCAATTCGCCTGCTGACAATTCACCTGATTCACTACAACCGGCAAGCAATTTAGCTCAGGTTTTCCCGGCGGCAGGGACTCTGGACAACCAGCCTCCGTCCGCTGCGCCAGCTGACCAAAGGCAGCTGTTAGAAGGCGGCTTAGGCCTAAGTTTTGCAGAAGAGTTGCGTCAGGTTGAGGAGTCGGCCGAAAGCAACATTGGTCATCCTGAATTACGCCATTTCGAGGATCCAACCGCGAATTTGCCACCACGTGGTTCCGTCACTGACGACAACCGCAATGTACAGGAGGAGCCGGATGTTAATAAAAACGTGTCGCCTGTTGAAACGTGTCCTACTCAATTGCATGAGGCTCCTTTAGCAGAGCCTGACTTGACCAGCCTTGATAGCCAGAATGCACTTAAGACCAACGCAAACAAACAGGCAAAACAGGATGCTAACGCTGACTTTATCCCAAAGCAAGAAACAGCCCAACAAATTGTAGAAGCAACGACTGAAAGGAAACATACCCGTGCTTTGTCAATGTCCGCTGCTGAACTAGAGAAAATTGAGCAGGAAGAACGCAAGTCCGGCAGCATGTCAGAGAAGTCTGAAAGCCTTGAGGTTCAACCAAGCTCTTCCAGAGCAGCATCTCTGGATGCTGATATCGCGAATAGTGTTTCTGCTGATATTGATGCGTCGGGTATACCTGAAACCGAAAGCCTGAACGAGAAAAAGTTCAAAACGACAATGGTCGCTGCGAACTCCGGCGGCAATGACTGGGGTCCAGCTGAGCGCAGAAAGAGTGCCTTCTCACTGAGTGATCTTCCATTACCTGATTTCAATAGCGGGGAACAAAGCACAATGCCAGACTCTAGAACAAGAACAGGTGTGCCGGCATCGACCGTATCAGCGAAACAGAACGAGTCTAATGAAAAATGCAACCCTAATCGGAATCCTGACATCGCTACAAGTGCTGGGGGGCCAAGTGATCCTCGCCAGGCTGATGCACCTTCTGAAGAAGGTGGGGACGGCAGAGCAGTGACCACGTTACTCAGTTCATCAGCAGCAATTGTCGAAAGTGTTGCTTTAGATGACGTAGTCCCATTACAACAAGGCGACATTGATCCCGACTCGAGTTCGAAGCCTAGCGCTTTTGCGCATCTTCTTTCAAGCACGGCACGTATCGCTGAATCAGTAGCCCTTCCTGAACCGGTAGCCGAGGCGGTTGTTGAAACGAAATCCCTGCCTGCAGAGGAGGAGGAAATCAGTAATGAACAATCAGCCATTTCCGCTCTACTCAGCACTACAGCCCTGCTGGCAGAGAGCGTCGTTGTTCCAGAAGTAGTTGAAGCGATTGAGTCACGATCAGACGACAATGAAGTCGCGGAGATTGCCCACCAAATCGTGGAAAGCGCGTGCGATGCAGCTGTAGATCAAACCGCATCCATCTTGGGTGGTAGTCAGCCTGAATCCAAAAATCAACGGGAGCCACGATATGACTTTGAAGAGGCACTGGATAACCTTCGTGATGTTAGTCCACCCCAAACTGCGCAGCAAGTCCATGAACTTCCCGCCAACGGTAGCAATCCAGCAAACCCGGAGAACAAAGCGCCTAATATCTGTGATGAAATGGACGAAAAAAGCTGTGATAACGCAGAAAAGCAAATGGGTGTAAGTACAAATGAGCAGAAAGAGCAGGGTGCTGATGGATCTCCTTCTACTGCCGTAAAACGCGATGCTGAACCGGACACTGATAGCGGAACAGAGCAAACTGCTTCGCAGGAAGCTGATGGCCGCCCATTGCAATCAGAGCCCGCAGTCTGCGTAGTGCCACAGATAGGATCACACGAATCGGTACTGGATGGATCTAGTGGTAAGCGCTCTTTGCAGGCTCCGCTTTTAATGCATGTAAGAAATGCTTCGCTTTACTTAAGTTTTGTTAGCCTTCAGATAAGATACTTAACTATATTTTTTTACTTATATTACAGTTGCCGCTTCCGACATGTTCTCGTCGCTCGGAAGCAGTCTCTCCAGTGCAGGACAGGCGCTATCAGCTAAGATAGAGAAGGCGGGCGAAAATATTCAAAAGAAGGCTACCGAAGTTGGCAACAAAATCGAAAAGACAACCAGTGAGGCAAATCAGAAGCTTCAAGAAACGGCAGCTCAAGTAGCGCAGAGTACATCTGATGCAAAAGATGTTTCATCCAAGAAAATCGAAGAGGTTAGAGATATGGCCAAAGAGGTAAAAGATAGTGCAGTAGAGTCCTTGAAGGATGTTAAAGGAAGTGTCGAAGACCAAGCAACAGAGCTCGCCGGAAAAGCTAAAGACGCAATTCAGGTTTCAAAAGAGGCTGCCGTCCAGAAGGCGACAGATCTTAAAGATAGTGCAGAAAAGACAGTCCAAGAAGTCAAGGATGCCGCCAAAGAAACTGCCGATAATTTACAAAAGGTAGCAACAGACGTTAAAGATAACACTATCGAGTCACTTCAGGAAACTCAAAAAGCCGTCGATGATAAAGTCGGACACATACGTGATACTGTCGCTGAGAAAATTAGCGATGTAGACACCGCAGTTAAGGAGAACGTTGAAAAATTCGAACAGGTGGCAGCTGATGTTCAAGATAGTATAATAGAATCAGCTCAAACGGCGAAAGCTGATGCCGAAGAGAGAGTAAAAGATGCTAAAAAAATAATTGAGGAGACCGCTGAAGATACCAAAAATATCGTGAAAGATACGGTCGATGAAGCCAAACAAATAGCTATCGAATTAAAAGAGAGCGCTGTGGAATCATCCCAAAAGGTTAAGGAGACCGCTAAAGATTTGATACAAACGGTCAAGGCTGAAACCGCTGACACCGTAGGTGCGGTCACAGCCGAAATTGCAGGTGCTGTTGACGCTGGAAAACAGACAATCATAGAGTCAGCGAAAAAAGCAAAGGAAGTAACCGAAGAAATTAAAGATAGTGCAGCTGCATCAGTCAAGGATGCATCCCGAGAAGTCGAAGACAAGGTAGATAATGAGGCTGAAACTTCTGATCGAAAACCTAGTGCACCCATCACAGAGATCGCGCAAGCGATCAAAAAAGGGGCGGAGAGCACTAAGGAAATTGGAAAAGACGTCGTGGATCCTTCTATTCAGTCTATTAAGGGTGCCAAAGAGACCTCTGATGCTATAGTCGCGGATCTCAAAGAAACCGTTACCGAAAAGGTTTTCTCCACTTCTGCAACTGCCAAAGAGCTTCTAGAGGCTGGCGAAAGTATTGTTAAAGACACAGTAAGTGACACTAAGGAGAAAGCGAAGGAAAGTAAGCAACAAGCCGATAGCGACTTCAGCAACCCGTCAGAGGTTGTCAAGGAAGTCAAGGACAGCGCTCTACAATTGTCCAAGGATACACTAGCCCAAGCTGCAAAAGTAGGTGAAGCTTTGAAGGATTCCGCTTTGGAAATTGGCAGCACCGTTCTCTCGGTCTCCGGTAAAAAATCGCCCCAGGAAGCTAAAGATGAATCCAAAGTAGGTGCAGACAACATGGAGAAGCCTGCGAGTGCTGAAATAAAGAAGACAGACGAGCATAAGGAAGGCGACGAAGTTGCCGCGGAAGATAACGCGGAAATTGCTCAGGGCAAGATGGAGAAGGTCTGCGATGAAGCAAATGATAGCTTTGATAAAGCTAAACAAGCACTGGATGAAATGAGTGGTAGTGTGAAGGCCGTTGCGAAGGATGTCAGAGAATCACTAGACGATATCACTACGTCAGCAGCTGCTGCTGCCGCCGGTAAGCCTTGCGCTGCGCAGGAGGAGGCAGTCAAGAAAGCTAACGCTGGCAAAGACAAGACTGCTGATATCAAGGATGTTGTTGCGGAGAAAATCGAAGATATTTGGGAGGGGGCGGCTGAGAAGGCTGATGTTGCCCAGGAATCTGTGCAAGAAGCCGCTCAGAAGGTCGCTGACAAGGAAGGAGACGTAAATAGCATCGCGTCTGAACAAGCTGCGGAAGTGGCTTATTCCGCTGCTGCCCAAACTGGAGAGTCAAGTTCGAACAAAGGCGTCGTTCAGAAGCCTGACATAAAGCAAGCTGACACGGTCGACGCTGCCGCTGACAAGCCGGAAGCTTCCAAGGATGTTACTTCAAAAGGTGTAGTTGAAGCCGAAGAAGAAATAGCTCAACGAAGTGCAGAAAGCTTGCAGAAAATTAACGAAGAGGTTGCAAATAAAGACGAGACCGCCTGCGCAGCTGACATTCGGGAGAACCTCACAGACGTCGATCATTCTGTAAATGCCTCAAGCTCTGCTACTAATGACAAGCCCAGTGATAAACAAGCACTAGAAGGCGTTAGCGCAAGGCTTGAGACTGTAGTGCAGAAGGATCATGATCCAAATAGTGAAATGATTGTTACAGAAAAATGGGAGAGCAACGTCATATCGCTTGCAAAGCATCAGTTGGACGCAGACCAGGATGAGCTCAGCCAGGATGAGGATGCAGCAAGTGTTATCAATGAAGAAAAAGACGACCATGGCTTTGATCCCCTCTCCAGCAAATTCGTCGAAGAGCCTGCTCTTGTACCCTTCACTGTCCCTCGGGTCCCCAAAGAACGCGATGTTGAAACCTTATTGAAACAGTCAGATAATGTACTTTCTCATGTAAGTAACGACAGCTTCAGTTTCTTGCTGACTCATGATATAGTATTGGCGCCAAACTTTAAAAGTGTTGCTTTTATCCGGAGACCCATTTTCTTGCATTGCTTTGTTAGAACACGTATGCTTCCAGGACATAGCAAAGCTATGACCTCCGCATCCGCAATTGATATAACTTACCTTTTATTATACTAATTATTGGAAAGGGTTGTCAGCCGAGCACAAGAAAGAATTAAATTAGGTGTACCAATAGAATAAACCAAGTCTAAATAGCAACATTTACATTTTACACATAGTGAATTCTGCATACTGGCTGTTTGTCTACGAGTTACAATCAGGTACAATACGTGGTGTCGGTATCTAGTAGGTTTAGTTATCGTACCTTTCACTTTCTGGTCGCCGGAGTGTCACTGGATTATTTTGCCGAACTTGAAATTCAGATATCTGAGAACGCACACACGACAGTCGTAAACTGTATCACCATTAGGCGGAATACTGAACTGTTGTCTCATAACCAATTGGACTAGTTGGACCTGTTTTGAATCATCTTGCTTCCGTTGCATATCCTTTTAACACTTGAACAGGACGCGTCACATGTCACTCGATCACGGTATCGTAAAATAATCAAGTTCAAGTGAAAGTCAGTTTTAAAGGATTATAAGTTTTCGTAAGTGGTAATGTTATTTCCATATATATTTTCAGACTGAACTTAGTACAAACAGTTCGGGTACGGGTGCAGCTGAGGAAGGTACCCTGCCCAAACGGTCGACTGAATTCTCATCCCTTACTAGACCTCTTCAAACTTCTCCCAGTCAATCCATGACCACATCTATCTACCAGCCGAGTTATTTGCCAGCCGACCAGGTAAGTAGTTGCTCTTCTATCGCAGACAAATCTGTACCTTTTGCCGCATCTCTGCGCTAGCGGCATCGCTTTTCGTGTTCCTTTTTTTCTTCTCTATTTTGTTCAGTTCTTATATATGTTTCGTGTTTTTTTCCTGCACTGTAAGCACATGGGTGGCTGCCTGGGGGTGGGGCACGCACTAAATTTCCTCCTTGGCACTTACAGAGAACTGATGCCATAGCCGACAAAGAGGAGGAATCCCAGACAGAGTCCACGGCACCCGAGCCGGAAGCGGAACTTGAATCCGGTTGCAGGGAGCCAGTTGTTCAGGAAACGCATCACGATAAAAAGAAACAGGAAGAAAACAACGATGAAAAGAAGACGACTGAATCTAAGCTTTCTGAGGGAGGTCAAAAATCTACTCAAAAAGGGGAAACCGAAAAGACGGACGAGGCTCAATTACAGCAAGCTCACACACAAGAGATAGCGGCAGCCGAAGCTACCGCCGACGGTGAAAAATTCAGTGTCGATGAGGAGTCAAAAACCGGTGCCAAACTGGAAGAGCATCATGCAGTAGAGTCGCAATCCTCTACTGCTAAAGATCAAAAGCCTGTCATCAGTGATGGGTCACCACTTTATGCCAAAGGTGAAACGACAGATAATGCTGATGATGTTGATCGCTTAAGATTGAATGCGCCTGAGGAGACAAGAGGTTTACCAGATGACAAGGCTGTAGAAGATTCCAAGGGAAGTGCAACTTCAGAAACGTCGGCTGTAGACACTAATGAAAAATTGTCCGTGGAAGAAACTACCGCCGCAATGCCGGCCGAAGACGATATAACTGTAAAGCAAGGACGAGAACAAGCACACACGAGCGAAGAGCAGCCTAACAAGAGCTCTATAGTAGAATCCAGCCAAACTCCGGAAACTGACGACGCTGATTCCAAAGAAGCCGCAACGAGTCATCTTGCTGAAAAATCTCCGGCCGAAGAAACCACTCAGGAGAATAAAATTACTGATTCGAGTGAAACTGCGTGCCAAGACGTTCAAAGCATTGGTACTGCAGAAGCTGTTGATAGTGGGACACATGAAGCTATGAAAGTGTCTGTTGACGAAAATTTGCCAGAGAAAGATGAAAAGATTACCACCGGGGATAAGGCTGCTGCTATTCAGCAGATCGCCACTGAGGAAGCTGAGACTGAAGAGACTCTCGCTGAAAAGTCTGTCGCCGCTGCAGAAGTAGAAAAGGCAACTAAAGAGACTTCAAAAGACGATGCAACCGCGGAAGAAGCTTATCAGAATGTTATGGCGGGAGACCAAGTTCAGGAGGCCACGACTAACGAAGCCCATGGAAAAGCCCCCCTTGAGAAAGCGGGAGAAGATGCACAGACAAACGAGTCTCCAGATGTTAAAGATGAGACTGCCGGGAGTGCTGCAGGAGAAGGCGAGAAAGAGGAGTTAGTTGAAAAGACAGTTCGTGCAAATGATGCGGTGGAGGTGGCAGAGGTAGCCGCTAGAAAAGCAGCTTCTGAAGAGGCTTCTGAGGAGATTATCAACGGGGCAAAAGTAGACAAAGAAGAAATTGAGGAAGAATCCACAATCGAAAAAGCCGACAGAGAGGCCGCCGAAGAGACTTTGAAGGACGATACAGCTGCTAAAGAGACTTCCAAAAATGTTACTCCAGAACACCATGTTGAAGAATCTACAACCGACAAGGTCTATAAAAAAGCTTCTCTCAAAAAAGAGGCGGAAGATGAACAGATACAGAAGCCTTCAGATGCTTCTATAGTGGAAGACGAGAAGGAGGAACTAACTAAGAATCTAAGTGGTGAAGATAAAGCTGGAAAAATAGAAGAGGTAGCCGCCGCCGGAAAGTCAGCTTCTGAGGAGACTGCCACTGAGGAGAAGGCAGCTAAAGAGGAAATTGAAGTCGAGCAAAAGCTTGTAGTTGATAAAACCGACAGAGAGGCTGGTGAAGGGATCTTGAAGGACGACACAACTGCGGAAAAAACTCCTAAAAGAATTACAACAGAGGACCACGTTGAAGACGCTACGGTTGATGAAGTTTGTGAAGACGTTGCTCTTGAGAAAACGGCAGAGGATGAACCGATCGAAGAGTTTGTAGATGCCGCCAAAGGTGCGGCTTTTCAGGCTCCCGCAGTAGAGGACGAAAAGGAGCAGTCAATCGAAGAGCTTGTTAGTGCGAATGATGCGGTGAAAGTGACAGAGGAAGCCTCTGAAAAAACAGCTGGTAAGGAAATTTCTGAAGAAATTGCCATTGAGGAAATAAAATTGAAAGAAGAAATTGAAGCTGACGAAAATCCCACAATTGAAAAAGCCGACAGAGAGGCCGCTGAAGAGATCTCGAAGAACGATGCAGTTGCGGAACAAGTCTACGAGAACGTGACGGCAGAAGACCAAATTGAAGGGGCTACGACTGATGAAACTTGTGAAAATGCTCCCCTTGAGAAAACAACAGAAGACGAAGAGATCGAAGAGCCCGTAGACGCCAGCAAAGATGAAATTGCCCAGGCTGCTGTGGAGGAAGATAGAAAGGAGGAGTTGATTGAAGAGCTAATTAGTGCAGATAATACAATGGAAGTCGCAGCTGAACGAGAAGATGAATCAGAGAAAAAAGACGCAGAACATGACAAGTCAGAAGAAAAAAGTGATAAAAAAGACGACGCCGTTATTAAAACGATGGCGAAGAGCCCCAAACCCAAGAGGAGGCCCCGTTCGCCAGAAAAGAAGGTAACGCGAGTTCGAATAGTTCGGGAGCAGAAGAGGCGAAAATATAATTTGACTTAACTTTTTAAGCACACAACCTTCACAGCTCATTTACCTTGCGATTTTCTGTCGTTGTATACCTCTAAAATGAGCCGTTTGTGCTATTTTCGAAAAGGCATATAATTATACTAACATCACAATATATCGCGTTTGAGTAAAGCAGGCTGATTAATACTGTTCTAAACTATGTCCGTTTTAGCACAATCCAGCTACTACGTTAATGAGGTAGTGTTAGCTTTGTATGAGGCCATCTAACGCTGTTTCGTTTCGACGGTGGGCACAGGTGAAAAAAGTTGCAAAGACAGAGGATACTAAGGTGGTCTCAACAGTGGCAGCCAAGAAGTCGGTGGATAACAAGAGGCCCGCGTCACCGAAGAAGAGTCCAGTCAAGAAGCCTATCGACGATACCAGAATCATAAAGGTTCGTATGAATGCGAAATTGGGTTAAATTTGGGCTTCAAGGAGCTTGGAAGTAATACGCAGCTAATTACGGAAAGCTATTCAACAAGGGCATTTGTTTACGCTTAAGGTGACCGCATATCAAATGCAGGACAAACCTGAACTAAAATAAGAAAATCTGCTTTGATTTTGGCGTAGTATATTTAGACACTACTTTTTTGACTTAGATTCTACATCTGACTTGCATTTCTAATGACGCCTTGCCGCGAGTTCTCTAGATCATTTCCAACGAAAAACTCTTTCATACACAAAGTTGGTTTATGATTAACTGCAATATATTTCAGTGGGAAACCAGAAAATGTAGCAATTTCAATGATGAAACTCCAGCAATGCAAATCCATAGAATTTTCTCGTAAATTTTTTTTCATAAGAAAACAGAATTTTCGCATCCGTCACTTAACCCCGAACGACGATAGAAACACTAATGATCTGAGTTCTGTATGCACAATTCCAGACTTCGACTAAACCGACCTCCCCTAAAAAGACGATTAAAAAACGGGCGGCTTCTGCCTCGACCGAGAAAAAGGACAGTGAAGTTGAAAAGGCCACTAAGGACATGAGTACTTCAGAAAAATCCGCCACTGTTAAGAAATCAGCCTCGCCTTTTAGCAGTGTCAAGCCTAGAGTTGATACGCACCTCAAAGAAACAAAAACTACCTGTAAGTTTTACACTTTTTTGTATTGTTTTAATTTTTGGGTTAACTTTGGTACAGCGATGACAAATCTTACAAACGTTACTCTCACATACTAAGCATAATCACGAGCGGGTCGTATATAGAACCAAAAGGACCCCAAAATAGAAACTATCGGATATATGCACGAATGTGTGTGGCTTTTTTATAGTCCGCTGTAGAATATGGCCGCGCAGAGATCATAGGCTTAGAGTAACCATATTTTTTGTCAGTTATGATAACTCTAGGTTAACCAAAGGCCTAGTGCTGCATTGAGAGCGCAGTATTACAGTTGAAACCTAGCGGGTCAACTTAAGCTTGTCCTGTGAATAACATATTTGGCTGCTAATCTTAAGGACACGTGGTGTCTGGATTTGAATCCGAGCATAGGCATGCTCTGCTTTGTAGAGCCAGCCGTCTGTCTGATGGAATGCCTGACGGTGCCTGAATATAAAGAGGTCAACTTAGGCTATATACTAAATATATATTGCAGGTCAAAGGGTTAGTATATATTCTGCGTTCAATAAGTAGAGAATGTTGAGAATAAGATTTGGTGGACTATTATATAAAACGTCTTGCAGCCATCCGACGGGAGCTCGTCCTTAAATTGGATTCTTCCCGGACGACTGGAGAAAGCAAGAGCGAGCTGAACACTCCCACGAATCGGCCTCAGTCTCCTACTAAAAAAAAGCGTTCTAAAGAGGCCCCAGAAATAGGCGCTAGCAAAAAAAAAGCCATCCCTTCCAAACGAGCAAAAAGCGCCGCACCATCTGCCTACAGACGATTTATGCAGCAGGTGGGCATTCCAGATGGTTTCGATACAACCTAATATAAAAAAATACTAGTAATAATAACAACAACAACAACAACCCAAGTAATGAAATGGTTTATGTAATAAGTTCCAAAGTATTTTTACATTCAGCTCGCAGATGCCTTACAATTGCATCTATCACGATTGCCTTTATATTCGATACCTTTCAGACCACATCGGAAGTCGTGTCCTCAGTTCCGACAAAGACAAAAATGAAAAAGTCACCCAGTGCAGACTTGGATGCTGTCAAGAAGTCCAAGGTAACTAAGAGTAACAAGGCAGCGGCGAACAAAGAGAACCCAGATGTAAACGGCGGTAGCATCCCGAAGTCAACTTCGTGCAACTCTGATCTCGCCGGTAAAGGCGTTGTCACCGCCACAACAACAACATCATCAACAACAACCACGGCCGTGAAACGAACCAAGTCCCCCTGCAAGCAGGTCGTCCGTCCCCCCTGGACTAACTACTTTAGCTAAGCGATGACATCCAGTGATGACACAGCACAGCAGCACAAGCAGCAGCAGCAGCAGCAAAAGTATAGATACATACACGAACAACGGAAATTAAAAAAAAAAAACGAGTTATAATAATAATAATAATAATAACGGGCAGGAAAGGTGAGAAAGGATGCTAAGAACAACAAACCAGCAGCAGGAGCGACGACGGCGGTGGCCAACTCGGCTACCGCGAACGAGTACCAGTGGCGTCGACCGGCGTTTTCGGTTCCCGTTATCGATCCCGGTCCTAGTCGTCGTCATCTACATTGATACAGCTGTTTCAGTGACCGCAGGAAATATGCAGCGGAAAACTGATCTGTTTAGCAGATTAAAGCTGGTATCAACTTACACGTTCCGTCCGCTTGGACATCTCCTCTCTGTTCCACTCTTTTTCGGTAGAAGAACTTTTGAAGATACTGAAGCTTCTATCATGCCGCTTCCGACCTGTTCTCCCGAGCCCCGTGTAGTTTAGTTGCAACTTTAGACGTCATGCCGAACTCCCCTCGTAGCGGCCTGGTGCCGACCAGGGGCTTTGTCTCAGTGAGCACTAACTGACTGACTGATATTCAAAGATGACAAGCGACTCGCATAGTAGTCTTCATTCCGATCGGGTGACCAGAATTGCTTCGAATTTGTTTGTCGTTAGGTTTCTGTAGCCCGTTCGCAAATATCAAATGAACGCTCACCCTAGTCATAGCAAGTGCTACTATGGTCACCGTTATTCGGGATTATGATGAGGCTGATTGATAGGGAGCAAGGGAACGGCAAGGCCCACATACGCGCTATTATTACAAAATAGAGGTCACGTAACTAGCAAATGTACTTATGACATTAAATATGAATGGCAAAAAAAATAGTTTTAGACATGTACAATAGCGAACAGTCGCAATTGAAAGCAGATACTTTACATCCACGCCCTTAGCATTGTATTATTATTATTATTATTTCTATGAATAGATACGTCTAGATAACCTAACTAAAGAACGAACGGATGGGTAACAAATGAATAAGGAAAGTCACAACTCCCTAGCCTATTTCTAACCGTGAGACCCGCGCGCGCGAGGGTGAAGAGGGCAGCACAGGCCCAACCAGTCAAGAGTTATTATTATTAGCTTTATTTATCCTATCCATCTGTAATCATTTGTACTGCATGCGCACGAAGACCTAAACCTTCAGCGACCAACCACATACATGCATCGTTAGTCAACGACACCCATACGATTGGGTGTCTCGCCAGAGATATATATATTACTGACTACATCCACTTTTCTACGACGCTCATATCGAACCTTGTCCCTGTCAATTGTCGAGACGATGAAGTATCAACGCTGGTTTGCGTCGCTCACATTGGTCGTATCAACAGAAGTAGCAGCAGAAGTTACTGATCAGCAATCGTCCTTCTACATATTACCAATGCTGCTGCTTCGCTTGACGTTACATCAGTAGATAACCTCGTAGGCTAAGTACGAGTTATGAGCAAAGAAAAAACAGATTGCAGTGAGACGTTACCTTCGTCGTCCAGAATCATGATTTATTACTGTGAACGATCTCAAACTGTCGTATGCGTTTTGCTTTACTAAAGAGCTGATCGTTTTAAAAATAGGTCGCCGGCGTTATTGTCTTACCTCTTACGTCGCGTTTTAAACGCCATAATAATCTTTGCTATTCATTAGTAGTTGCTACGTAGTACTTAATGATCAAGCGATTTTACTCGTGTGGGATACCGACTAGGTCAAAACGCAGAGTTTCAGAGCCGTGAAGGTACTATCAATCCGACCGAGGGTCGGTTTTATTTGTTCTGTTTGTTATAATCAGAGCACATATACGCAAAAGGACGATCCATGATCGGTAATTAGCTTGACTGACTGACTGACTGACACGCTTATTCTGAGCATCTGGCGTGTTTACTTAAACTATATATATATATATATATATATATATATATATATATGCATTCTATCGAAAGCGGGTTGCTGGGGCGATAGTAACGTCAAGCAAGAATTTTAGATGAACCGTAGTATTTGGAAAACGTTATAATGAGAACCTAATAATAGAGAGAAAAACAGCTGTCTGAATTATCAGCAATCGAGAGGAAAACATCCTTTAACAAATAACATACAAGCTATTAGAAGTAGTGAAGATGCGTACTTCAAAAAGAAATAATCTGATCCGTCTGCACTGTATTGCCGTATGTATAATAGACCAGAGATGAAGATTTGGTTATTGTCACTTCAAGAAATAATATAACTTGCAGTATGGCAGATGATCCAAAAAAACGAGCGCAACTTAGGTGAACTCAGAAGTAGAAAATGTACAACCAAACTTCAATATTTCACCATAACAAATAGAAACATGCCACCGATGGTGATAAAGAAGGATGCTTATTATTATTATTATGAAAGAAAAAAAATTAATTATCTATTATTGCAGCGCGGTGCTGAAGTGTTTCATGCCGTGTGAAGTGGTAACTGTCGCGTGAAGAAGTCCGTCATTTACGTTTGTCATGACTATACTGGACATTCTGATGAGAATGAAATTTACTAACGGCTATTTATTATATAATGAATTATTATTATAATGATGATGCACGAAGATTAGGCTTTTATTTATCTAACGTCTTATTAAATGTGATTATTAAGTATTGCAAAGAGTGAAAATAGTGATGTTAACAGAGATCCTTGTCGAACCCTATGAAGAGTGTTCATTGTACTACGACCAGTGTGTCTATCTCGATTATAGAGTGGAAGGTATATGCATGCGTGCAGAGACGCTCTGCGATATTACGAACTGTGTAAGCGATGAGCTGATTCAGTGGTAACCTCGCTAGTAGGAACGTAACGAGAGATGGGCCTCAACATTATAAATATATACACATCCATACACCCGTACTTTTGTTGTTATTTAAGGAGAGGGGGCAGCAGACCGGAATAGTCTACTGACGAACTTCGACAGAGTGGCAAACGTTCCGGCGTGCTCGATGGGCAAAAAACAAAAAAGTATCGAGGTGCATTCGTTTCGTTTAGAAAGCACCGCATAACATCGCTAACTATTACTGCTTATCTGTCACAGACAAAACGATGACTATACTCAATGTTGACGATGGTGATAAGAGAACATAACAATGATAATCTAATCAAAATATCGACTATGTAGCATGATATCGGCAGAGGTGGTGGACGAAACAATTGTAGCAAACAGGATGTTCGAGGCCGGGGTCAGCGATGGAAAAGCCAAGGCAGAATCTCTCTTGAACCTGATATGCTTGAGGTCGTCATTTAATAGCACAGCTATGATAGTTATACTATAAAACAAATTCGTGTTAATTTAGATTGGAAGTTTCCTAAATGCCAGCATACATGGCAAGAGGTACGGTTGGCCTGTTCCTTCCCCGGCCGATGTCTGTCGTCTTCTCACCATGCATCACCGTAGTCTAGGGTCAAGCTGAGGCCACCTATATTTATTTAGATATTAAAAGGCGGACCGCCACCTCCGGGGCCGCTAGCTAACAGAAAGCCCGCCCGCCCGCCCGCCAGTCTCCTATTTTCCTTACAAATGATTACTATTAAGATGTTAATAATAATCGTTATTACTGTTATGAAAATAGAAATACCGGTAACAGTGAGGGAGTACAGCATCGCACGGATACAACGACGGCACCAGCAGAAGTAACAGAAGAGAGAACGTTGTGCAAAACAATGGGGCATCGTACCAAGGTATAGCGGGGTGGAATCGTCCAGCCTCGGTCAATCGTATGTCAGCGAATGCAACTGGCATATTCTACTCTCAGTAACACAGAGACAAAGCCTTATGCTGAGATGAGCCCTCTCCTCCGCCGATTCAGTTGACAACTTGTTAACTAGGCGTTGTTTCGAATAGGTACCATTAAATTTGATAAATTTAGAGAGATGTTCAAAGGTTTCGGTCCTTCTTGTTAGTTGTAAAGTATATTTTCCTTATAGAACACAGTACTTTCCCGACAAATTTCAGCATGGCTAATAAGTATAGCTTGGCTAAGTTACTCTCGAGCTGTTTCAGCGGAACATTGTTAGCGAAGCTACAATAGATAAGTTAAAACGACTTGGTTTTTTGTATCGGAAACAGTTACCGGTTGCGTTGGGCGTTAAGCGACATTAAGCTAATTGAATCAAGCAACGGAAGTTGGACAGCAAAAGCATATGAACAGCAACAAAAACCGAATGACAAAAGGAAAAAAACAAACGGAAAAAAACCGCGCCATTAAGCGTCACCCATCTAAAGAGCGGAGTATCATATCGTATCGGATGGCGTTAAAACTGGATAGATATATCTATACAGAAAGGAACATTTATCATATCTCTTATGGATACATGTACATGTATCACTAGCAGTGAAACTATGTCACTAGAGAAGCGACACGCAAACAAGATTAATGATCCCAACAAGCTTCTGACTGTTTGTGTGTACCCTGTGTACATCAAGCGAGAAATAGGAATGGCTGTAGCTAGTGCCAGTGGGGGTACAGACGATCCGCAAGACCATCAACCAAACCGCTGCTTATAAGAACCTAAGCTTCAGAGAGCAGAAAAAAAACCGATGATAACGAAGATACTAGAACAACTGATAGCTGCAAGGTGGTCGCTAGCAGATAGTCGTTATCGACATGAACCGATAACTCTGGATTCAGTTGACTAGCATTGTCACACATGGCCATGCTCATTGATCAACTGGAGCACGGAAACCCTTCCCGAAAATATCAGACTTTTCCCTATTGAATTTTAGTAGAAAATCGCGAAATTCATAGAACAAGTGGGTAGTCTACAATCGCGAATTTGCAAATGTATGCAGAATAAAAAAATACATTCCTTTCAGCTGGAGGGGATATTCAATAAGCAGTTCTAGCTGATATCACAAACAGAATGAGATACACCTTATCTACAGTCTTAGTGAAAATAGCCCGTCAGAGGAACCCGCTAATAGCAATGGTGAAGGCCTACTAATAGAGCAGGATCTGAACGTCGGCACCAGCCGAATAGTCGGACATGAGTTCCGTTCAAAATATAGCCATGCTACTATTAGTTGCAAACCCTTACATGCGGATAAGCTCCGTAAATATATATATACAGGTGGGGTGCAAACTCCGTGTCTGATGGGTCCGTACTGTATAAAACGGTTATAGATGTGTCAAAATTTGCCCACATGAAGCTATGTGAGTTGCTCGTAGCCTTAAATGATTGTGTCGTTACCAGAAAGTGTGTCCACCATCGCCTAGCGCCGTCCGTTCAGTGAAGCATATTCAATAAGTAAAAATGCTATGGTGCCATTGCCGCGTTTGTCGTCAAACAATTAGAGTGACTGCAATGGCTCTGCGGAAGGGAGGACCAGTTTTCAACGAGGACAAGAAAAAAAAATCGTAAATAAGACAATAAGTTTCATCCATAGTCAAACGAGGGGTTTTTGCAACCTGCGGCAACGCCCAACAACAGCTCTTGCCAACTCTAGAAAAAAAAAATGTAACGGCGACAAAAATCATTGTCGCTTATATAATGCTACTAGATAATTGACTGACAAGAAGTTACTATTGTTTGTCTTATTTACTTATGGGGGGGGGGGGGGGAATAATACGATGATGCTCCGTACTAGCTATTATAAAAAATATATGTATATATCTATATACTCCGTAATATATATATAACAACTTATAAACAATATTGATGAAAGAGGATATTTATGAGTCGTTTTGTTGCGTTTGGAGTCCCATCAAACCAGCAAATGTTGCCGTCAGCAACTTCTGTTGGCAACAGAAAACGCAAGAGAAAGTGTTGCAATGATTCAATAAAGCTTCATATATCGAGTTTATTTACACTCAGAAGTGTTACAAATAATAATAATAATAAAAAAAAATACTTAGAATACAAAACATTTGATATTTACTTTGAAGACACTGGAAGTTGGTAATACTAGTAATAATAATAGTTCTAGTAATAATAAAAGTAACATTGAAGTAATAATGGCATAGATAATTTATTTACTAATGAACGAATTTATGTCAACGAGTAATTTATTATGACAATAATAATTTCTATTATCACGCGCAGTATAAAACGTCAAATTAAACCGAGGCGATCATCAGTCAGAAATCAGCATATAACTATAATGATATCAGAGAGGATGATTAAAAATGGCGAAGAAAAGCATTACATTATATAAACTACGAGGCACTCGCAGTGCCGTGTTTAGAGAATTTCGAAGGGGTGTATGTAGCATCTTGGTGGGCTATGCCACTGTGTGAGTGGGGCGCTGATGGTGTAGCAATATTAGGACACGCGGGCCCCGTCTAACAACAGACGAGCAGCAAAGAACGCAAAAAAACTAAAACAGCGAAGCGGAAATGACAAAACTAATTAATGCAGCTGTTATGTGTGTGTGTCGACGACAAAAACCTATGAAAAGACAATACAAACAGCGACAGACGGGTAAATGAACGAAAGCTGCACCGGGAAGGGAGCAAGATGGACACGAGGGAAACGATGAAGATAAAGAACAGGCGAGAAAGTGAGACGTCAGCAGCGGCGGCGGCGGCGGCGGCGAAGACAATCGCCGCTGGCTGAGTATTATAGAGCCGAGTTCTAGTCCCTAGGATAGCTTAGTGGGTAACGAATTTACCTGCTAATCTTAGGGCGGCGGTGGTGATGATGATGACGGTGGTCTAGGTTCGAGTGCTGGCGTAGACACACGGCTTGTTTCGTGCTGGGAGCCAGCCAGCCAGCCAGCCGTCTGTATGATGGAACTATGCCTAACAGCGGTGCCGGACATAGGACACGAAACATTTAGATTTGAGCCCTTATTAGACGACTAGACGATTGAAAAGAAAGAAAAACAAACTCCGAAAGGATCGAGAAAAAAATAAATTCGAGAGGATGAAGGACGAGCTAGAACGAGAAAAAGAAAGACACCAATATATCTATCCAATCCAATTTAATCTAAAACGACTGCGCTAGCGGTTATTATCTAATCGAATTACATTGCTATCACTATTGAACTCATTTCGTTTTGATGTCACCATTACAAATAGGCGAAAATACACATAAAAAGTAAACATTATGAAGACAAATTACAGGACTATGCTTTATGAGTAATGCATTCTCCCGTTCACACGAGCTCTTAGCGTTAATTAAACATGATGTTATTAAAACCTACTGAGAGGTCAACAATATATCCAAATTAGGCTTCTAGCAGATTAATATTTTGGAGGTGGGCCTTCTATACCGCTTCTATTCGCAGCAGGCCTGAACGATAACAACTTAAATAATTTTTCTATAATAATACCAATAATAATAATGATAATAACTATTATTATAATAGATAATGATACATTATATTAAAATAAAATTGCTGGTAGTTATTTCAAAGTTAATGTAAATTGCTTTTTTATTTTTGCTCAAGTTAATTATGTAGTCTAGTAAGATTTTAAACCGGAGGATACTTTCTTTCCATTTATCACTTTTTTTCTTTTCTGCTCTTTCTTTATGGTGGCAGATGATAACTAGCGATTCAGGCCAAGATGGATCTTTGGGGAAGTTAAAGTTATCACAAACGTTAAATCGATCACTTAAGAACAAATACAAGGCATGAGAAAATCACTCGGAGCTCAACACTAATCGCTTTGATGATGCACTTGACGATCAATTCAAGACAAGAGGGTGCAAACAAAGATGTATTTAGGTACAACTCGAGGATAAGTGGGCGGCAAGCGAAGTAGGGGGCGCTTTGGATCCTCACTGACCGATTCAACAACAAAAAGCTGGAGCTGGATTACTCGATTGTCACTTGTGGGCTGTGTTAGCGATTGGTAATTAACACCGATAGCTGGGATAAGAAAACTCAAATCAGTTTAAAAATGGTTCCCAACAATGCAACAACATTTCAGACCAAGGCCTGTTTTACGGAACGTCGACCTTGCAGTATCCGCCTTATTTACGGATAGAATTTTCTGAGCAAGGACGGAGTTCCTCTAGAATATGAGCAGTACTCGGGTGATCTTTGAAAACGATCAGATTCCTGAAGGGCTCAGGTTGACGAATTTGCCTGACGAAGCTTCCTGTCTCTTCACTCCGCAACGCAGCGGAAATGGTTCTCTCTCCCCTTAGAAACACAGAAAAAAATTAGTTTATTAAGTTTATTACCTGTGCGTGACAGTTTATCGTCGTCTGAAAAATATAAATGTTTGTCTTCATTCAAAACGTCAGTTGCAGGGAAAACATGGTAAGCTTTTTTCATATGTAGTGTGAGGGAAGCTTCAGGGGTACCTCGTACCTTGATTAAACTAATGTCAGGACCATGATCAGGCGCCTTTGGTCAATGGCCTGCTCTACTAGTGCTCATAAGTGAACTTCAATCCTAAGAAAAATGCCAGTCCACAACCGTGTCCACTCATTTCTAGTCGAGTCAAAGGATTATGTCTTAACGCCCTTTTTAGTCCTTGCCGCCGTTACGGGGTCGAAAAAAGTAAAAAGGGTCGCAAATCTAGGCTACGCGTCAGTAATTTCTCAGTCGTTTGAAAAGAATAGTAGTTTCTTCACCTAACAGAAACGCTACTTTAGACATAAATTAATTTACTCGCCCTTGCCCTCCACGACTATCGTCTCTGAATGAGTTTCGGTATTTCATCTCGCTAGAATTATTCAAGTCCAGTGCTTAGGTAGTCGGCTAGCGGGTTTTTGAGACTCCCTTCTGTCCTATAATGTGTTGATATAAATTACTTATTCGCCAGCGATTAAAGAAGATAATAATCGGTTGATGCAAAATATGGAGAATATGGCGGGCGGAGAAGGGCCTTTTACCAATGCTATTGCAAAGCAGTCCTCACTGCCACATATGATCTGGCATGGTCCTGGAACAGGATGACGCTGCGAGGGTCCTTCCAACAAAAAAAATGCAATCGGCACAAATTTCCCGGTATCGTTTCTAGCTCAAACGTGATAAACAGAAAAAAAAAAAAAAAAAAAAACTTGAATGTAGAAGATTTTAAGATGTATTTTTTTTAACTACAAAAATCCATTGTTGCTGCCTGAACTCGAGAGAGACTTGAACACATTGAAATTTCAACAGGTTTGTAGAAAAGAGAGAGCGCGCTTTTGAATGGTGCATGGAAGTAAAGAAATAATAGAAAAGCAATAAATAAGTCATCAACAAGAAGGCGAACTGAGATTTAAAAAAAACCTTTCTAAAAAAAAATAACCTTATAATAAACGTGTACTTTTTCTATTCACGTTTATCTTAGTTTAAGTAAGTATTTGAGTTTCAGGCTCGATAGTATCACGATAGGACTCATCGGTAGTGGTCGTTTTAGCACTTTTTGCCTTGCATTAGAATAATATATAGTAGTACCTATAGTTCGTGTGAGAAATTAAGAAATTGGTCCTTCGCTCTGCACGAGCGTCTGTTACTGGCAAATTTGCGTTGGGTAGCGTCAACGGTCCATTTTTACAGAATTTTTTTACGATGAGTTGTGTTTACTTGTCACACTTTTTATAACATCACGCAATGGGATCGAGTATCGACTCGTTCGAAAATGCTTGAGTTGATAATGAACCAGTACTACGTTCTTGCGTTCTTGTTCTAGGCAATATCTTTTTTCCTAGAATATATATATATATATATATATAGAACAAGCTCCCACTGTCTTCAATGCAGTATTATAATCGAACAAAATATTGTTTAAATAAAATGTTATTTAAAAATTTAAGAGACGTTTACCTGTTGGCAAGAAAGCTTTGAAAAACTGCGTTTTAAATAGACTGTTTGCTTGTCTACAATTGTCTATTTTTTTCTCGTTGTATCATCACTTGACCATACGGCCTGTAGCACAATAAGGTCATAGTACATTTTTTTTTTCTCTTTTTTTGCACTATGTAGTTAAAAAGAGTCCGTCAAGGCATATTGTTTATGTTCTCTTGGTCTCAGCTACTCTTCTTACTTTTCTTGCATATAATTTACATTCGAGTTACAACAAACCCATGTGTAGGTTTTCCGGCATAAGCTTCATTATGAATGGTATCTCTACATAAGAAAACGTCCATGGGCGTTAGGTCAGAGGAACAAGCAGAACATTCTATGGGAACTCTTCGATCAACCCGTGTATTTGAAAGATTCCCCTCAAAATAACTTTTTACGTGTAGATGATCATGTGCAGATGCTCCATCCTATTGGAAATCAAGTTCGCTACCTTTACAAAACCTCTCCCGAATACATTCTAAAAAGTAAGTTTAAGTACCTGGAACTACTTATTGTACTGTCATTAAAGAATGCTCTTACTTACAGTAAGTGAACTTAAGCTCGATTTCGCTTCAAACCATCCTTCCGAAGAACTGTGCAGCTTGTCGAAACAACCTTCATAAAACTATTTTCATCAATCCGGATCAATTTTACTTTACTAAAATGCCGTGTTCCTATAACTTGCTGATGATTTCAGATTTTTGTTGCAGAACTTAGTTGTAACTTAATTATGAAAGCTAATATAGCTTGCTAATGTTCTCGGTGGTTTAGAACGTTATTTATAAATATACTGAGTAGTTCCGTTTATTTCAAGTGTTATTTCAGCCAATCAATTGTGAGTTACATTGGAGAATCTACCTGGAACTCCCTGCAATGTTGTCTCTGTAATTCCGCAATAATTGCATGCTTTAATGTTCTTTGCGTAGAAATTAATTTTGACATTTTTGCTGGTTGATCACACCCGGGAAAGCAGATACAGTCAGAAAGTTATGATTTGTTGAACGGTGTATACATTTTGGTATACCTTTAGTGTACAAGGGAAGGGGCTTGTCCGCGTTCTTTACAGAAAAAAATGGTGATACGCAAAATTTCATATGGTAGCTAATGGCTCCCAGATTATCGAGGCCCAGCTGTGCATGTTCATTCGACGTCTCTCTCCTGTTGGGATGGGTGCACGGGGTAGCCATGGAAACAAGCCTCCACATCCGACAACTTAGCAGGAAGAAAGTCTGTTAAAGGACGACACGTTTCTAAAGTTACAGTTAACTACTTGCTACGTTTTAGCCCTTGTTTCAATTTCCACGTGCCTGATACTTCTTTCGATAGGAAGATGTAGTACTTTGAGAAAGATTACGCATTTGCGCTATCAGTTGTTGGTAACTTCATTTTAAAACTAGCAAATTTTTGCAAGTAGAATGTTTTCGATATTTAGTGTGAGCTCGTGTGATTTCCCGTCAACGTGGAAATCGTTGACAAATAGCCAAAAGACAGAAGCCGGGTCCCAAACTGACGTGATCGAACAGAAGGAAGCGAAAATCCAAGTGATTAAGAAGGTACACGCTGAGATTCAGGCAGGTAGCAGTGACATGATACCGAAAAAGTCAACACAGAAGCAGTATGACAAGCCATCGTTGTACGCCTTTCTTAAGCGCGCTACACCGATTATGATTCAGGAACTCGAACGTAACGCTCGAAGTGCCGCTTTCCGCCACCTGCAGCAACGAACTCGGCAGCAGCATCTGGAACAGTTGAACGTTTTAGAATATCACGAAGCCGCTCGTGACTACGCTGCCCTCAGTGTGGCTGTGTCTAATATAAGAAGTACGGAACTGGCAGTCGGTTATGGTACGACCCAACATGTAGACTGGTGCGACCATCGCGCGAAATTGGTTCTATTCAAACGAAAAGATCTCTCAGCCAGGCCAAGAGTATATGACATGGATTCATGCGTATCGTGTGTTGCATACAACGATCGAAAACCTATACTAACTTGTGGAATGTACACCGGAGAAGTGCTCAGCTGGGATGGAGAAGAACAGCTTCAAGTACGCGGTCTATTTTCATAACTCGTATGCCAAATGGAGTACGAAATTTCAGGATGAATTTTGTGATCCCCCCAAGAAAAGACAGAACCCGAAACAATGCTGTAGAAGACAACGTCAATGGCGGGTAACCGCGAACCTAGATGAGCTGCTGAACGCCATAACAGTAGACAATGATAGATTGCACCGATACACAAGTTGCATTAGAAGGCTATAAAAGCGCTACTAGCTCTTTGTTATTATCTCTCTTAAAAACCTATTTGCTACTAAGTACGTTAATTACATGACTTAAATTATTCGTTGCAGCTCCCATTATTCTTAGAGCTACTTAGGGTAAATATTTCTAAACAAGTTACAGCCCACGAAGTAGAGTACAGGGTGTTAATCGTATAGTTTGCAATAATACTCTATAAAGATGTCAAAACAACATCCTGATCTCATCTTTAAAGTGACGTTAACTCTCTGTATTTCATTACGAAGTAAAAGTACGGTCCCAATAACATTCGGTATTTCCGTTTATTCGTAAGGCCTTTATTTTACTATTTACTCGTTTTACAGAATCATGGATCTACAGGGCGCATAACGTTTTACTTTGGCGCTGCCTTGTTGCGTAAGCCGATCTCAGCGGCAATTTTTTCGCAGTATACTTAGTCATACAAAACTTTGTGATCCGATCTACATATTACCTTTTGCGGACCTATATCGGTAATAACTAAATTGTGTTGTAAATGTATGTGCTTAACTAGTATTAGTAAATAAGGTTATGTTTTATCGAAGGTGGGGGGTCGCCATTCTGGACGAGTAAGCAGTCTTCAATGGAGGCCTATTTACGAAGGAAAGCGCTTACTTTCCGCGGGCGTCGACGGCGCTATCAAACTATGGAAGATTCGCGATAAGGTGAGACCTACTACTTAGCGAATATTATTATCAGCAAAATGGGCAGCCACTGAGTGCGGGAAATTTGAACTTATGGAATTTGCAACTATCAATTATAAAGTCCAAAGTAGTTTTATACTACGTGTACTTTAGGTTGTACGTACCAGCTACACAGATTACAACAAAAAAGCTAAGTGAGTTTCGCCTCAATAAATGCCAAATTACGTATTAAAGTGATCATACTCTACGCTTTTTCTTCAATTTCCACAAAGCCAGAACTGTATACTGGATTGCGCAGACGATAGTAACAAAAAATAGATGCCAACCGTGTAAACCATTTGTGATCAAAAATATCTGCCTAGGACATAGGTAATGACCGTTTGTTTTTAACACTGCCTCTTCTTTTTACCTTTCCACTGTTTGTTTACCTGTATATACCATCCGAGAGGACCTTCCCACTGCTCTAAGTCGATTGGTGTTATTGTGTGTATGAGCTAAGGCTCCAAAGATAAAAGCTCTAGGTCGAGGAACAGGACATTGTTGAGGGCAACCTTGCCTTTGTCGAAAGGATAGAACTACCGAAATAATATATATTCTATGTGCGCTGTAAACTTCATGTCTGAGAAAACTTCTTATAACTGACTAGCGGTGTTCACTTGGCACTTTGGACCTGGAGGATACACCGTGCCCCAGTCGGTGGTCTGAGCTCGACGAGGACAGTCTGAAGGTACTCTTAAAAAAACACGGCGAGTAAACAGGTTATGAATGGACGAAGATGTGAACTGATGTCATACGAGTATCAACAAGCGCATTCAATCTGTGAGGTTTCCTCATAGACTAGAAGAAAACTGCGTGCTGAAGATAAGATAAAAAAAAAACACGAATTTCATTTGATTTTCATCTCACTAATACATTATCCGGCTTTAAGCAGAGGCTGCAGTAACAGCCTTTTACCCAGAATCGTCACCGGCGACCCAGAGTAGTGTCTGAGCATTTATAAACGTGTGCTACTGAGAATGAAAATAATACAGTAGCCTAAAGCCCGTCCTAAGCTGGATTTTCATTGTAAAAAAGACATGATTTGCATTTAATGCGACCAGAAAAAGTCTTAGAAAATGGTAAACGCTTGAGGAAAATGATGCGGTTAAGTAAATATAAGGCCTAGAGTAAGCGGTCTTGTCCAAGAGAGATGGCTCCATAGACGAGGCTAAGTTATTCTCATGCACGACGAGGACAAACTTCGTAAAAGGCGCCCTGCGCGAGCCTAATTGGGAGGTTCTCCTGCATCCGCCACATTCTTCTCCAAATCTCGGGCTAGATTTGAAAAAAAGAGACAAGTTGTTCAATACCGAAACCGAAAATTTCTCGTGAAAAGGAATAAATTAAATGATTTATAGAAATAGAGAAAAGATGAGACGGGAAAGTGGTAACGGATACATAGTAAATTAGCTCGGTGTCACAATTCGAGTACATACTTTCTATGCAAAAAAAAAGAACCGGCCATTACCTATGTTTCAATCTAGTTCGTAGGTACGAATTTTTAGTAAACGGTATCATTTGTTTGAGCAAATGGACGAAATCTACTTCTAGGGAATCTGGCTCTTTTATATATTTCTCAAAAATTGTTTGGTTGTTAAGAGTTGTTCGATTTTACGAGACACGTTCGATTTGTTTGTTTGTTGCACCAAAAGATATCTTAAACGTAACCTGGCATGTTAATTTCTGTACCAGTTTTTATGGATAAAATGGTACTCAGCTGCGCACAGAATCTCATTTTGCCATCTTTTCTATGGTTCTATGAACGACCACCTACTTGATAGGAACGATAACCTGAGTAATAATAAGAGTAACAACAGGTATGATTCTACACGATTGGCATATGAACCCTAAACCTGATATGGGGATGCCTGCACCATGTAGCTGTTTCATCATATAGTGCAGGTTATGCGTCTTGCTATCCTTTTCTACATATTCCGTTATCAGAGCAAGGTTCTTATACGACTTCTAGGAATCTCTATCAAGGTTGGCTTTTGACCGTTACACCCAATACATCGAATATAATGCGAGCCAATGTCAAGAGCTATCTCAAGAAAGATGGCAAGAAGAATGATGGCAAGTCAACGAGTAACTTCTTGGTACATTTAACAGGCATTGATTATCTCTGAAGAACTCATTGTAACGTCCTGGGATGCGGATGTCAAATTAATGTCTCGGTCTGAGACTCCTATAGGGGTCACCACGACGAGCTTCTCTGCATTTGAGGATACGCAATTTGTTATAGGTCAGTAACTTCAATAACGGAAAAACTGTGAACTAACTAAATCACACCTGCACCATAAACCATTATAGTTTGTCGTCGTTGGGACCGACAAGTTAAATAGTCACTAGTAAGTATACGTATAGTTTAGTTTTTGTGCAAATTATAAAACGAGCCTACGTAAGAGCATTAAAATTACCACCCTATTATCTAATATTATAGTGTTTCTGTGCTTGCTTCATTCTAGGCACCGAAGGAGGGTATGTGATGCTCGGATCGTTAACAGCTTCACATGCCCTGTTCGAGAACGGCGCCAAAAAGTGCGTTATGATGAACTTCCAAAGACATCGAGGCCATGTTACCCATTGCTCCTTCAGTAGGCACTCGCGTAATATCTTTTTGACTTCTTCGGTAGACAAACGAGCCCGCATTTATACGCAACTTCAGCCTTCGCCTGTCATTTCGCTGGCACATTCTGATCAACTTATAAAAGCTTTGTGGTCATTTGCCCACCAACTCCATATCGTAACGGCGACATGTTCGGGTAAGGTAGCTCTTTACGACATTCGAAAAGCATACTCCCCTCTGGCGGAAATCGATCTGGCTAATCGAGTAACTGATTTAGCTTTCGTTGACTTGGATCAACTAGCCGCGTCGACGAACAACGGCGGATTGCACCTGCTGAAGCTGTCAGACGGGTTTCTGGCCAGAGCTGAGTCAATTGGCATCGACGATGTCGTAAACTCATTCCGCGACGGTATCGGCTTCGAATAGATTGGATTTTTGTCCGACACTAATAGGGCGAATAAATTAGAAAATCCGGAATTACACCAAAACGAAACTCGAAAAGTTTTAAAGTGTAAGGCGGTTTTATAAGTTATGTGAGACGTTGACCCTAAGGATACCGAACCAAATAGGTTATTACCGCTTGCAGTAATTCGATTAACTGATAAATGATGCAGACGTCGCATTGCCAGTAGAATAAGAGAATTAGAGAAAGTTCGGAATACTCATTCAACTACTTAAGGATATATTCAAATGGGACGCGGCACAATTTAGAAGGAACTACAAGCTGTTGTGTGTGTCGATGGTAATATCTTATGTTTTATGTGGGTGAAGTCCCGTGTCTCTAGCAAACAAATAAAGGACCTAAGCTATTCAGACGGGCCGTATAATTTCATTGAGGGCATAACTATTGGCCACCGTTTTAAAATTGGGGCCCATTTGAAAACCTTTTTCTAGATAGACATTTGAATTTAGCACCACTCTGATGCATAGACAGCTTAATTTTTCAGAAATCGTATAATTTATATATACATCAAATTGCCTGCACGATTTCTTAATATTATTTTTAATGATGATTTTTTAATATGTATTAGAGGAATTTTCCTTTGCTTTTTGCACACTCGTACAAGCATTCTGAACAACCAGGTATTTAATATTCGTGTTTCCATATTTATGGCTTCTCGTAGTTACGGAAAACTTACGGTCATCACACTGACTTAAGTTGAATGAATAAGCGGGTTAAAGCCAGCGTTGGATATTCTATTCTTTGCTAAATACAGAATATAATTGATGCATAGCGATGTGTTCTGGCGTTATGAGTAAGCGTTATATATTGGGTGCTTTTGATTGATAGGCCAACCACCCATGGCTCTCTTGAGAAACTCAAGGTAGCGGGCTACATTTATTGGTTCATTTTCGGTAAGTATCCCATGGTGGCAGATGCGTCTGATGACCACCGCAAGTACTATCATTTATGCCTGAACCTATTCGACACTGCCATCGAACTCGATTCCTTTCCGGAGCAATATCATGATTTTTACTTGGTCCCGCTCCGTCTAGAGACTGAAGCAGATCTCGTCTGTAGCGATCGTCTGCTCCAGGCGGGTCTGAACTTCATTGAAGTCCTGCAAATCGCACATGGAATACATTACATGTATTTCCGATTGGTTTGGAGTCAATTTATTCTGTTTTCACATCTTCAGTATTTGGGTTTCGGCCCAGAAAGCCCTTAGATTCCATGCTCTGCTATTGTGAAAAGTCCCTTCGATTACAGTTATGCATTCTCGTCCTTCGGGTCCCGATATCTAAACACTTTCTTTTCTTTTGAACTAATTTTTCATGGCCTAACATCAACCGGTTGTCCCTAAAAGATTTTTAGAAGGTTGGAGTATTTATCAGTCAAACTTTGTCGGTTAGCGGCTTGTAGTTCAAAAGTTATACAAGTTCAGTCACCGAGTTCGCTTATATACATAAATATATATTTGTACAAGTTTTAGGACCAACTTCTGACGAACCAAGAAAAAAATGAATTTTCCTCTAAAGAGGTAAGAGACTCAATTAGTTTTTTGAGCTGAAGCTAGTGGTGGGCTTAAAATGTATTTTAGGCTGAGTTTGATAAATCTGGTCTTTTTATTAGAAAAACCCTAAACTTGCCTGCGTTTTTCAATGTCCTCCTACATGATTTCACCTTTACAAAGGATTTTTGCTATGCATCTATGGCTGCCTTTAAAATTAAATTAATTTTTCGTGTAAAAACTAACAACCGCATCATAGCAATAATACTAGGGGGGCATTATATCCAACAAGACGTGAAGGTGCAAAGCCTGGACTTGAAAGCGCTGTCTAAAATGGGCCGCAGAGAAATAGGGTAACGTAGGATACAGAACCTTGGTGCAGAGCACTAGGCTATTGAAGTAAGGAACGTAATAATAATAGAAAGCGATATAGGGGAGCGAAGGAATAAAAAAAAGGATGACGGTGACCGGCGTCGCCGCCGCTGCCGCCGCTTTAAGAAGGACGACAGCAGAGAAGAAAGAAGGAACAAAAGAAGAAGGACAAAAAGGAGTAGAAAAGAAAAAGAAGAAAAATAATAGCGAACTTCTGGGAAGGGAAAACCGGGAGCGATAGCGGAAAAAAAGAAAGAAAGAAAGAATGAAGAACCCCAGACGCTGCAATTGCCCTTCTCGCCACTGACGTCGTCGACAGGCTAACAGCTACGCGTGGGTGCTTTTCCACGTTAGAAGAACGACCACGTGGCGACCACGTGCATCACATCTCGTTTCGCCTTTACCCAGTTCACCAAACATTTTAGTATATCAACACAGTTTTCAGGATAATGAATAGGTACTTTGACTTCAGCATATGGCAATCGGCTCATGGTTTGCGTAGAGGTAAAAAAAAATACTTTTCATGAGAAACAAATCATCTAACAGCCGTTGTGCTATAATTCAGCTTATGTATATACATGTATATACAGAATTTACTGCGGGCACATTATTATTTCGTCATTTATCTGTTATCAAATTAAAGGCAAAATTCTACGTTAGAGCGAGATATTCCATAATTGTAATAAGAAGGAAAGCCAAGCTCACTATGAGAAGCAATAACTATACTACACATGCATCGCACACTTATGGTTGCTCGCTTTACAATGAAAGCTAAATAAAAAAAAATACGTCTATGGCAGGGAGAGTTGTTTTCTTACCTCAAAATGCGGAAACGTTAGCGTTGGCTTGTTCAAGTTAAGCTTCATTTGGCGGCTGATTCATCACAGACTGGAAGTATTTGCTATCGGGCATTTCCGTGTGCAGTATGGGGTCGCTTGTCACCCTCGCGGCATCGCAATCTTGCCAGTAGAAATTCGGTGTAGGGGTAATATGTTTATTTACTAAAGTTTGGAACACGTGAAGTAACCTAAATTGGACGCAGACGTACCTCGTTTCATCGGCTGGCTAAAGCAATGCTTAACAACCGTACCACACGTAAAATTCGAAACATTTCGAAAGAATCGAAACATTTTTACATGAATAAATGACAACTTTAACTTGCCATTTAGGTAATTTATTGATATTTTAGAGCGAAGATCTGCCAACCGCTAAAGCATTGTCTTAACCTACCTGTTGAAGTTCTTTGAAGTAGTGGAGGCAAAAATGTGTGCTTAAATTCTGCAGAATACTGCTAACAATAAGACAGTAAAATATGCGTTAGCACATAGCATTAGTAGACTAATGGAGATTTTATTTTGCTTAGGGGCAAACAGATAGACTCGCCTTATTCCATCAATATGCGCATCTTTTAGGTAACGAAGAAGTGCTTCGAAAATTTTGTTCGCTTGGCGCTTTCTGTTTACTCTATCTGTTGCGATTACGTGTAACGTAAACGTCGTTCTTGGATTGCGTAATATTCTTGCCGTAGAATGTTGTTGTAATTAATTTATCATAATGAGCATACGTGCTCCTTTTGCAGGTTCTTCGTACGTATATAACAGCTTTCTTTTTCTCAACTGGCCAAAACCAAGGCTGAAATTCAATTAAGTAGTATATCCAACAATAGACATCTTTGCGTCTCAGGTATTTTTCTAGCTGGAAACGGTGTATCCTTACTGAGTCGATAGTACGTTTAAGGGCTCCGATCTGACAATTCTGGCTTTCGGAACTGGGAAGTTCCATCGCGAACTTATGCCTACTAGGGGAATTCAATGAGGCCTAGGCCCATTGAGGGCCTTGAAGACAACACTCTCTATACACTAGTATGATGTCGGGCGCTCTAGCCGATCAAAGTAACTTCTGCCCGTGCCACTCTAAAATAGCCGCCAAAGGGGGGTTAAAGTAGCTTCAATTCTCCAAGTAAAAGAGAACCTGAACAAAATACGTCTTTAGAGGTTAGGTAAACAACGTGAGCGAGGGTACATGATTTCCGCTTGTTCCAGTAGGAACTGCTGTTGCCTCTTGAAAATTGTTTATACTAAGCATTCGAAGTAAAATATATTCATTAATATATTCCTGACAATGTTCGCCTGCTTAAGGAGGAGCTTCATGATGCTCCGGAATCCAAAAAGTTATGTCGATTTAGTAGTGAGATGCAATGATCCATCTCAAATTGCCTGGAATGGAAGGTGTGCTGCCTCTGCCGTTAAAACAGGTTCTGTCAAAAACGGGATTTTCTTCGTGGGACCGTAACTATTTCTCTGAAGAACCGATTTCCAGAGAGCCAATTGCTATCTGGAACTTCTGAACCATGATTGAGAAGGCAATACCATCTGAATAGTAAACCACCTTGTCATAAAAGAATAGTTCTTCTCGTTGTATCAGAATTCGATTTGAATTACGGCGCTGGACCCTATATTTACCAAAGTTCACATCGGCTAAATAACTATCTTAAGCGATGAACTTTTCTCAAAAAGACTGAGTTTCGAGATCAAGGTATTCATGCACAGAATTTCCGCTCGTTTCCTCTAATCACGATCTGAAGTCAAATGCGGATCAGCGCCTATCGTCACTAGGGTTTAATCAAAGACATTTCGAGCAACCTTCAGACCGTTCTGTTGCAGCGAACCCTATCCCCTGCGAGCCAAAGTAAAGCTGGGTCAGGTTATGTTCATACTGACCATCATGCAATTGGCTAAATATACTGCGTCGCATATGATCTTTGCTAGAATATGAGCAAAATAATGGTGAGACGAAATATGGACCCCTAAACAAGTCTGAGGTCTCGAATAGAAGAAAAACTAGCAGAATCACAATCACCTTGTGACCTTTACTTTCCGAATAGAGCTCAAATTGGTAAAAAAAAAAAGAAAGCTAGCAGAGGTTAAATAGCAGCTGTTACCAAAGAAAAAATTTACACAATCAACTAGGTCAGAGGTCCAGATGAACGTCAGAAGTTGGTCTTTGTTAGATCTTTCGCGCCTTTGGCCTGTTTGTGCCCCTAAACATTTGGCCCACAGTTAGCACAAAACCTGAATCGACTTCTTGATATGCAGCGCAATTACACAGGACCTCAGTGATTCCGCAGTCACACTACAGAGGTTACGAATTGACATGCTGCTTAAGTCCGGAAGAACTTTTGAGCGATAATTTTAAAACAAAAATGAAAACACGGTTTTCTGCCAAAATGGAATCATTTTGTGTTTTCTTTATGTTTATTTAGCAGTACTTTGTTCTGTTTGTTCTGGTATCGTTCTTTGTCTCATTGATCATGCTTTCTTCATCTGCTTCACGTTGCTTTTGTTCTGCTCCAGTCTTCTCCTTTCTCCCTTTTCTAGTCCTACTTCATGTTCCCGTTCCCATCCTCTGTTGTTGCAATCATTGCTAGCTGACTTATCTCGACGATATTCGAACGCGCCGAGTTCTTCGTGATTTAGCCTTTTTAGTATTAGTCTATCTCGTTCGCATATTTTTTAGTGTTTTGTTCGTTTTCTCGAGGAAACATTGAGGTAACGCTCGTTTACATCACTCGATCATCGTCCTCGGCATGCCATTTTTATAATAATGATAATAACCTGTCAGCTGGTTAGCGTGCTGCGATTGAGATGGGTTGGTCGCGTGCAACCTTTGGGCGCTTTGTGGCGAGGCGACCCGCATCCAATCGATCTATCTGCCTGTTAGTTCAACCTGTCGTTAATATTTGTTCGTACTGTTCCTTCATTTTGTCGTTATTTAATATAATTTTTATTACTGTTACTGTCGATATTGGCGGTTTTCTTGTCTTTGCCGTCGTTTAAGAGGGCGGCTGGTCTCTACTTTGTGGGTTATTGCTGCGGTCAGGCAACGCGCCGGTGGTAAAACGTTTACGAACAATTGTACGCTGCTTTTGTAGACGCTTTTCCCGAAGGCCTTTTGCAACGATCGTCTTCTCCTGTTCGACATGTTCACCCTATTCCCAACGTTCTGTCCTTCCTTTATTTTAGATAATCTCTCGTCATTATTACTATAATAACTGTTACTATTATTATTACTTATGCACTATTATTATTCTTCACTCACTACTAACATTGGTATTAACCACAATATTAACATTGCATGGCGGCCTGAACGTGTCATGACGATGTCTGGACCACGTCGGACTTCGCAACAAGGTACTAGATACGTATGCTGAGGTATATATATATATATATATATATATAGCAATAATAATAGTCATAATAGTTTTTCCTCATTCCTTGTGTTTGCTATTAGAGGCGAAATCTGTCTATCTTTCTTTCTGTGTTTGGCGGCTACATAGTATTTATGATAATTTATGAAATATATGGCGTTGCCAGCGAAGTGTTTTCCTTCGTTTGTTCGCGCGCGTCGACGACGAAGCTATCCAGCTTAGGCTGAACTACTACAGTCTCTTTCGTACGTGAACGTTTCTCTTTATCAATATTGGTATAATGATATGTATGAATTTTTGTCTGTCGTTCAGTTTAATTCGTTGGTTCCTCACACCCCAGCAATAATACCGCTGGGCAAAAACGCGGAGGACCAACGATTCCAACCTAACCTACATAGGCCGAGAATCGTTGCATAGGATACCCTCAGTGACCAATACGCCGAGCTATCGTATTCCTATTGCGTAATGATATAACTATCGTCATTTTTGTTATCATCAACTCGACGTTCGCGGCCTAGAGGACCCGTTATTATTTATAATGGTAAGAAAAGTGATTATTGTTACCACCGAAACTATTACGTTCTCTGTACTTTTTCAGCTTTTCGTTTGTTTAGGACTTCTAAGTGACACAGTAATTAGCCAGCAACACAGACAGATTACGCGTGATACTACCTGCCAAGGTCTGATCATGCTACGAACGCCAAACGGATTAACGAATAGCACACCATCACCATCACCATCACCATCACCATCACCATCTCCATCTCCATCACCATCACCACCCTCATCATCAGCATCAGCATCAGCGTCATCATCATCATCATCATCATCATCATCATCATCGTCATCATCGTCGTCATCAGTATTATGTCACTACTACGATGTACTATTATAAATAGAATAGCACATACACTATACCACATGTGTCGATGGCCGCAACGCCAACAGAGTGACCCTTTTTCGTCGTGCCTCGTTTTTTACCATCATCATTCTCACCATTACCATTACCATATATATATATATATGTATATATATACGCTGTATTCTATTGCTTTGCTGGCCTTGAGGGGCCTAAGTGCAGTGTTGTCAGTGATTCGTTTTACGTAATCCAATCGTCATATCATTCTTACCCATAAGGAATATGACCAACATTGTACGACATCGACTAACGTTCTCTATTGTTACATGTTCTTTTTTTTTTCTTAATTAATGGCTGTCGTCGTTCGATGTACAACAGTTTGGCGTTTGATCCTTCTAATATCCAGTCAAAGGTCTGAGGACGCACGTACCCAGACCATTGGACGCGCTCGTTTAGTCTTCCTACCCTGTCACCCGGAAGCGGACTAAATAACTAGAAGAACTATTACTAGCTATCCACCATGAGTCACCTTTATTTTTTGCTGTTATTGTTAGTCTATCTAGCGGTTGCTGTTCTATCTACGATGCTTGTTTGTTAATCCTTATTATTCTTGCCTGGCACGGTCCTGCTATTATACAGTTCAATAATGGCGAGCGTCATCGCGGTTGCAGTCGTGGCTGGTTCATTAAGTGGTATAGAATGAGACTGCGTGCCTCTCTTTTTCAACCGTTTCCTCTGGCTTTCGTCGAATACAGTTACTGAGAAAATTGCACCAGCAACCAACTGTGTTAGGCGTTACTACTTGACTGCAACCATTTCCTACTGGGTATGGAACCGCGCCACTAGGTAGGCAATTATGATATTATTCGTATTGTTCCTTACTCTTCTAGTTAATAGTAGTACACATCTCTATCAAAATAGGTCACTGACAGACTCACGACGTGTGAATAGAGCTCTACCGAAGCTTGAAACTACTGCAACGACCAAATGGGGGAAGAGATTAATCAATGGGGGCGTTGGTGTGATCATGAACATAGGCGGGACGGTACCCTATAAATGAGGCACAATTATAAGGTTACATATTGCCACTTCTGGTTACATTGTAACTGTATAGTGCAATTTCCTCGCTTTACTTCACGATACATATTTCGTGACACGGCTTTATACAGCGGTGGCGTAATGGCGGATGCAACGACAGAATGTATCGTGATCAACCGAAAAAAAAAAAAAAAAAACAAACAAAAGAGAGACATACACACACACTGTCGCTGAGAAAATTCGTTGAGACGCAGCTGTTCGTTCTTGAACTAGTTTAGATATATGGCATTTTGTTGAATGAACTGCAGAAAACCGGTCTCCGAAGATAGCTGTGCGCAGCGTCGGTTAAGCTCTAGATAGGCTCACACCACTTCCTAGGTGATACCTGACGACGGCTGCTGAGATATTGCTTAAGATCCGTCCCTATGCCGATAAAGCAGGCTCGGGAGCGGAAGACTTGTACCATCGGTGGCGTAGAATGCCTTTGCTAGGTGAATTATGAGCTACGTATGTTGCCAGCTCGGAAGAATCCTCAGAGCAGGATTTCTACTGCCGAGCTCGGTGAAATGCATAGATACTGCATAGGATATGCGTCTTCAATTTAATTGGTTCTTTCAAGTCGGCACAGTTTTCCCTATAATAATGTTTGTTTATTTAGGTTGGCGTCATCGTTGCTTATCAAACCCTCTTGCGTTGATATGTTTCCTTTTATTGTATCTGCATTTAGATATCATTGCTTAAATAGCGCTAAGAGGGGATATGCTGGGTGTGTTTCAACAGTTGGCTTTTCGGAGGTGGCGTGCACTGTTCTCGATCGAACCGTAAAATGATACAAGGGTTCTAATTATCACAGTCAAGTACGAAGGTCAGAAATTCAGGAAATCGCATGTCAATACGACAAGGGCGTCTGTTCCTGCGATAAATATTGTACCTACTTATTGTAGTGTTTGTAGTATATTGGTTTAATTCTTTATACGGCGTCCTGTGTCGATAGAACCGCCGGTAGATTCAAACGACGACGAAACTAGTCGGTTCAACGGAGAAGAGTGCTGAGAAATGTGCTCGTTTCAGCTTATAGGACTGGGTTGATTAGCTTGAGCCGGAAAAATGCTAACATACAGATTTGACTTCAGTAGGACCGTTCAACTCATTCGATGTTCATTGCTTCTTGAGCAGTCATCCATAAATTGCTTTACTATTGCTGCATGCGAGGTACTGGCAAAATCTAGGGTGCAGGGTTAGGAAATTTATTCCTGATTTCCTTTAATCGGTACCAACTTCGCCGTCGTAACACTTGGTAGGCCTAGGATTACTCTCATCTATCCTTCTATTTTAGTAGGATGTTGAGGGGAAGGGTGACTGCTGATGGGGTACTGGTACAGGCGGCGGTAGCAACGGCGTTCCGGTAAGTAGAGCAGGTGGAGTATACTGAGCACTGAGATGGGCTCCAGAGCTCAGGGCGGGAGGCGTTACGACGGGCGGCGTTGAGGCCACAGCTGACGCTTGGGACGGATAGTAATTGCTCGCTATCTTGTATGTCTTGGAACGGAGCGACTGGATGGCGAGCATATCCGTCGAGCTAATGAGCGCCTGATGCGTGAAAAATTGCTCCATCTTGTCGAGCATCGCGAGGATCTCATCCGGCGTGAGTTGACGGGACCGGCGCAAATGGTAATATTGCATCAAAGCAGCATCCATAGCCTAGAATAAACACGGTACAAGTAAATACGCCACTTAATTAAGCATACACCTTTTTGAAATGGATAAATGTGTTTTATCAGTATGATTCATAGATCAAAAAACTGCTTGCAAAACCGCTTTAATACAATTACACTTAATGTTCCCTATACTCGTAATTCCGTTAGGCGTCCAAAATCCATCCATTTGAACCATAAAACCACCCATAAACTTGCATGTAAAGGGAAAATCGAATCAAGGTCGTGTTTTCCCTGTCGTTGTTCTTTTCTGGTTTACAATATATTTTCAATGGATTTTAAAGAAAGCAAACAGGCACTTATAAAATACGGACCGAAATAAATTTATGAGCACAGAAGTTGATTGAACTTACCTCTGAGGAATAACCTTGTGTTGCGCTTGAACTTTCAAAGGCTTCCTCTGAGAAAGAGTACGATGTTGGGAATGTGTCGTCGAGATGCAGGTATTCTTCAACTTCGCGTCGACTTGGTTCGAGCCCCTCAGCGGGACTGGCGGCCGCCGAACCTCCGGAACCGCCAGAAGTGCCGCTTCGGTCACTTCCTCCCCCTCTATCGCCTTGGACACAACATAGGCGACTGGCTTTGATGGATTGGCTTAACTCATGAATGGCCTCCTCTTCAATATCTCGTCTGCCAGAATAAATACGAACCTGTATAGATAGAAAATGAGTTATTATCCAGCTGAATCGGTGATTTGCTATTCATTGCATTGCAAATTTGGGCATATTTGCCTCCTTAGTATTACTGTACATCAGAGTAGAACAACAGAATGTTCTTCAAACATTTTATGTTTATATATGTCGTAAGAAAAAAAAAACGTTAAAATTACTAGTAATTCATTGGTGCCTGTTCGCTTTCGGCCTACCTTAAAAAAATCACTATGCTTAGAATTTTAAAATAGACTTAATAAATGCGAGTGTCTACGCAATGCGTATTATATTACATTAGCCTTACCGGGAGCAACTGTGACTTAGTCCACGATTCGAGTAGCGTCTCCCTCGCAAGAGAGTTCCAGGCTTCGTTGAGGATATACAGAGCGTCCAAAAAGGGCACAAGGGCATCGGGCGCTGGCAGTGCTGGCATCGCACAGTTGCTGCTGCCCTGATGATTGCCCTGCTCTCTGGCGATTTTTTGCTCCTGTTGGTCCGCGTGGGAAATCATTTCAGCCTTATAACGCGCTTTAAACTCGGTCACAGCTCCCTGATTGAGTGGCTGCAGCTGACGCAATGAGTTCTGTAGGAAAAGTAGCTTTATTTTGTCACTTTGTACGCTTACCTGTAAACGAAACAATTTTGTACAAGGTTGGACTTCGACGGAATAGAAATTACAGCAGGCTTGAACGTAGTAGATTAATTAATCCGTTATGAAACCCGAAAGCAATTGCGAATATGGTCTTGTATGCGTACTACGGCACTTTCGCGCTGATACCCTTGTAAGCAACTCATTGGGAGTAACTAACGGAGTTTTTTTACTCTCTTTGTTAGTCTCTCGCACCCTGGAAGCCCTTTTATCTAGGAGCAAATTATTGGAGTTTGGACAGGTCTTTTTCTCAGTAAGGGCGCACATACCTTACATGGCATTGCAACTGTACTTGCAGGATATCAGAATTAGGTTGATGAACAGTAAACGCCAATGATTTCAGGAAGAATTAGGCCATTAAGTCCCAACTAGGATTTTTCTGAAAGCTTGTGCGATTAAATATCTTTGTATGTATTTGTTTATTCTTCAAAACATGGTGAAATATTAATTCTCTAAATTCACGCCAATCGAATACATTCGCCGATTTCCAAATCATTGATGAAGATCTTGTGCTGTTCCCCTGTGACTGTGTGTTACAAAACTGTGATTTGAAATTAGTTATACGTAAAGTCAGATCATGCAGGCAAAGTACACCCATGAAATTGGGCCCTTCGATGGGAGCCTAAAACAAGCGCTTTTTTTTCAATAAAAATCTGTAGATAGTACCCGTAATAGCTCGGTGGGTAACGTATCTTTTTGTTAATCTTAGAGATTCGTTGTGAACCCGAGTAGGAACAGACTTGTTTTGTCCTGGGAACCGGCCGTCGTATGAATGCCTAACGACGGTACCGGATGTAAAACTCGAAACATAGGGGCTGATTAAAGCTGTACAAATGCTATAATACATGTATTTGTGATGACTTTCGGATCAAAGGCGTTGCCGCCTTTGAAATGGACTTTCGATGTAACAATGGATAATAGTCCAGAATGTCTATGGACATGGTTTTTATGTTTTTACGTGGACGTGTAGCTGTTCTACAAAAGTGAATATCATCAGCAACGTTTATCAGCAATGATGTATATGATCAGTAAACAAATATTATTATTATTTAGGTTATTTAGGTTTTATTTTAAATGTAACCCTGTAAGGAAAACAGTAGGTTACGGTTCCCATAATATACAATAGAGATTCGCTTGTTGATTGAGTGTCTTTAGAAGGAATACTAAGGGTCACTAATGGGGTAAACATAAGAGCCTACCTAGCAGATATGAGGAGACAAACTAAGATCACGTACATATCGATCAAGTGAGGCAGATGCTATATTGCGGTGGCAGGGATAAGCAAAACGAACAAAAACAGAAGGGTTTTTAAATCTTTACGTTGGTCTATCACGTGGAAAACAAACGGGATCGTTTAAACTATAGATTATTTAATTAATTAAAATATGATAAATCTAAAAAACGCTAGAAACAAAGCAAAAATGGGAAGGGCTACGTACACTTACATGGGCTGGACTAGTGTCTAGGAGAAGGACACAAGGATATTCGACTCTCCTTTCTAACTCCCAGATCCATTGTTGAAAAATGTTGCCGGTAAGAAACGATGACCGTTGCGACGCATACGACACTATAATACACACGCACACGCTCACATATATTAGTATTAAATTATGCATACAGTAGAGGCAAATCAACAAATAACAGCAAGGACATGTTCATAAATCCATGCATGGCACCCCGCCATTGAGTTTGAACGAGGAACTTCTTTAATCCTTATTTATCATTGCATCGTACAACTTACCAGCATAAATTGCGATTATTATATATATATATATATATATATATATATATATATATGAAATTCGACTAGATAAATAAATACACCAGCCTCTAGAAGACCGGAAAAATTCTGAAAATTTGTGAGCGAAGACCGGTTGAGCCTGTTATTCCGGGGAAAAGTGAACTCAGAGGGAAAAATATCTTTTAGCCGTAACAAATTTTTATTTTTCGAAGGTTATAACGCTGCGGTTGATTAATGTAGATTAATGAAAACATTACGAAAAAAAGCCTTAAGCGAAAGCAAAGCTTGTAAATTGTACAGTCGTTTCAAGGATGTTACGAAAATAAAAAACAATCAGCCGACAAGCATACCCCATTATATATATTTACTTCGAGAAGCCATAGGCAAAAAAAAGTCATAGAGAAACGCCAATGGTTAGTAGGATAAGTGTATAAAAAAACTGAGGATCCCTCTAACGCATGTTAAAAAATTGCTCTAAATCAACGAATTCAAAAGCTATTCCGCCGAATTCGTCTATAACAACCCATATATATACATATATATATATATATATATATATATATATATATATATATATAGTAACGGCTCAATAAAAGAAACAATGCACAAGTAGCATCATTAGACTAACCAGGCAGTTTGCCCCTGCCCTCGTTGAAGTCTTCTCCGTCGCGTCGACAGTTGATTACAAGCGGTCGAAGTTTATGGGTGCCGCTCGCGTTGGAGCACAATAGGACCGTGATGCGCGCATCAGCATTTAAGGTATCAGATAGCGTATCTCGTTCCGCGTTCGGCAGCTTACTGTAATAGACATACATCAATTAAACGGCGGAAAAGAGGAATAGCCGGCACGAAAACAGAAGGACGGAACTTCCGTAGTCAAGAAAGATGATACCACACGAATATATAAAATCTATTGGAGTATATTAGATTGGAATCTTATCTTGCTCCAAGTATTTAATAAGTTACTTGGAACGACAACCGACAGCAGTTAATCATATTCTACATATTGAAATAGGAATATTCAGAAACGTACATGGTGCTCATACGTTGATATAATTAGAGGTGGAATATGGATAAAATAACGACAAAATAGTTGATTACGGCATGATTGATGAATGCCGAACTCACTTGTAAAGAAGGCAGGTCTCGCTGACTGTATAGATTCGTTGGGGATCATAATCGAATAGGGCGCGGTGGTAATTGGCAAGCTCGTAATCGGGCGAAGGTTTGGCTGGAGTAGCAACAGGAGGGGGTGGACTAACTTGCTGGGGAGGGGCTGACAATACTGGCATGACACTCTGGTTCACAACCCCAACTCCAGGGGAAACCATTTGCATCTGACCCATTCCCAGTGACGAAAGCGGAGGCGGCGGAGGTGGCGGTGGCGTCAGTCTATCTGCACGAGGCGTATGAGGGTGACCACTGGAGGGCGGCATTGCTGGAGGGGGCATCTGTCCCCCAAGGTCACCGCTTCCCAGTTGTCCACAAGACAGATGTCCAGCAGACGATGGATGCCCAAGTGAGGACAGCGGTGGCTGGTGGAGTGGAGGCAAGGGACCTCTTTGCTGTGACATAACTGCATGGTGGCTAGGATGGCCACTATGGGAAATCGAACTTGTCGACACTGGGGGATACTCGCCTGGCAGACAAGGGTTCGCCGCCATTGAGGGAGGAGCTAGTGGTGCAAGCGGGTGTCCAGGCGGTGAATGCGAGCTAAGCGAGTGCTGGGAACTAATCGAAGATGAACCTAAGCTGGCCAAACCCATTGCGGAGGACGAAGCACCCGTAGCGCCCCCGTGGGGGCCGTGAGAATGGGTTGCTAGGTGGGCACTATGCGGCACCACATGCGGGTTCAGTGAAGCGTGTGGTTGGGGAAGCGGGTTATGGCCGCCTGTAGGCGAAGGGTGCTGCTGAGGGCCTGAGCTTGGCGGGCCCATGCTTGACTGTGCCGCTTTGCTGCTCATGACGAATCCATGGCGCTCTTTGAACTTGTATAGCCAGCCATTGGAAGCCTTAAAGTCGTTGGTTCCCAGTACCTGAAACAGTAAAAATTCAGCAAAAAACGTTAGTCAGATTTTAACTATAAAATAAATGTTACATTTTGTTATTGACTATTGAAAAATTTACCACCGAGGGAATGCCAATAAAGTTTTGCTCATAAAAATTCTAAATGTGTTGTACTAGTTACGCTAATATACATTTGTTAACTATTGCATTCTGGCAATTGTGTTCAATTCATTTTGTATGTGTGGTTATTGATGTGAAACACTTACACAACGGAGTCGGAGACAAGCTTACAAAATGTTTGACTTTATGTAAGGACTCATAGGGTATGCTCCTATTAGGTGTCCTGTATTGCACTCACTTAATGCAAATATTGAATAGCGAATGTGGTACACAGAATTAATATTGCCTAAAAGTTTCTTCAAAAGCTCCAAACGATATTTAAATGATCAGTTCTCTACCACCTACCGACTATAGTTGTAAACTTCTCTGCATGGGTAGTTCTCTAAAAACCCTTACGCTCATAATGTGACAATTCTTCTAAACTTAAGTTAAACTATTAAATAGATTTGAACCATCGCCACTTCATTGCTTTCCATCGACTGCCATTTTTTTAATTAAATAAATAGCCTTTCTGGAATTGCAACACTACGACGCTGCCAAGCAGTGATGCCAAATGTGATGACACCACTTCTAATGACAGGAAAAATCTGCATCAGAAAAATAAACAAAGAATGATCCACTCTGCATGTTATGCTTTTAATGAATGTCCTGGTTATTAGCATATTCTGTTTGCTGAATCGTTCAACATCTGATTCACGTACACGACTCATTAAAGTGACATTTCGAGGATTGCCATATTGAATTTGAAGTTTCCCTTAACTTACATCCTTGGACCTTCCCACTTGTCGCTTGCTGGCTGGCTAGCTGGCTGGCTGGCTGGCTGGCCGCGTTAAACCAATCTGCCAGTTACGATTGCCTGCCATCATCGGTGCCCCCGCAGTACCCCTCGTAGTTGTCTGCGTACCGAATGTAATCGCGGGCGGATTTGTAGGTCATAATGTACAATTGATTTATCGGGTAATTGCGTGCTAAGGCGGCTTAATCCCCGAACACGAGCCGAATTCGACCAGAACTGGCAGATTTCGGTGCAAAGGGACACTGTACCAGTCAAAGAGTGACAAGCTTAAAGATAGCCTCCCCCTACAGCCCACTAACTCATTTCAGCTGCTACAGATCTACAGCGCCAACCAAAGTTAGCGTAATTATGGGTTCCTTTTCACTTGTACGCATTTTCTTCGCACTAAGGCCTCATCGGCGAGTCAGCTTCTACCTAATCTGTTTCCATAACGGTAGCCTTATTCTTAACTCAGCAAAAAGCAGCGCCATTATCCAAGAGCACGTTTTGGCCTAATAAAGGGGCAGGTCCTCATTCACAGATACTCTTAAAGCAAACTACCTAGCTTACTCGTCCTCTTTATAGCGTTTCTGAAATCTACATAAACCTTTAAATCATGTCTATCGCTCTCAAAGAGTCAGTGATAGAATGTTATCGGAGATTCGACATTGACAATCATCAAAAAGTTTTATACACTTTTTAATTATGCACCAACCAAAAATGTATAATTATATTGATATTTTTGTGGTAATAAAAGGGAGAGATCTATCACAATATTAGCTGGTTTGCCAACACGGTAGCTGATTCTCCTCTATTTAAGCAGGTAACTAGGTAATATATTATCTATACTAATGTAAGGGAGCAACCACATTACGGCGGGGTACATGTTTTTAGTATCCATTACACCATAATTATTAGCTGAAAATTTGTCTTAATGATATTTCAAGGTGGTATTATTCTTTTCCGCTACAATAAATTCCAACACACAACAGAAGATGACATAAGCAGTATGTGATAATAATTCAATTCTATTTTCCACTAGGATGTTACCCTCGTGTCATAGTGATGTCGCAATGGGGACGATCGAGCTTGCACGCTAGAACGACTCTATGCGAATGGAAACAGGAGTTTCGTATGCTTGCCTAGAAAATGTGACATAAACGCCTAGTCTTCGATTCACTGCCATGTAAGGCAGGAAAATTTGAAGCCCCAGTCTCCTGTCCTCAAGTAATAAATTCAGCTTTGCCACAGGCGACCTTGGGACCGAATCAACACAGACAGCCCTGCCATGATTACATGAATAGTCCGTAGTAGGAGTACGATTTGTTGGGTAGCCAAAAACAATGTACGACTCTTATTATGCAGAAATAACCTACTCTTTTCTGAGTGAAAAGGGCAAAGAAGTCATACAAGTTAGCCCTTTCGAGACTCTGTCAAGTATAATCGAAGAATGTCGTAAAGTATGGGACGGATAAGCCCGTTTTTCTGCTAAGAAGGTTCGGATTGCTAGCTCGAGTTTGGCAAATGATTAGTTTAAAATGACCATTGTCGAAAAGTGGCGCGACTCCTATTTTTTACACGTCTGTAACAGCTGAGTTAAGCTTAAATAATAAGACTAAACACAGTAGCACAATTGGAGAACGAATACGATGCTGTGTTCTAAAAGTCGACATAATCTTCCGATGGGGTTTTTTAAAGTGTCCTTCCTATGATCCTAATTAATTTCGGGCATTTCTGAGTTTGTCGAAGTTATCAGCCGTCATATTACTACTGCGTTAAACCCTAAATCAAGTTAGACTTCGACGCTTAAGTTATTTAATCCTAAATATGCTAAGCACGATAAAGAGCGTACGGACGGGCAAGCGGGAATATGGCGGTTCACCAAATCATATATTGCCAAAAGTGAAAACTTTGGCAACTATACGTTTAGCCAGAATTTTACAGATTACAGAATACTTTTTCGGTATACTTTAAATTAACCGTTAACTATGCCAACAGGTTTATATTTCTAATATGGAATAAGTTTATTTAATTCATAAAATCCGTCTAACTCCTATCTGACAAGAAACAAATATTAATAACTAGGCATAAATGAAAGCAAATTCAAATTGGCCTAACACAGAACTATCTGTTCAGACCTCTTCCCACGAAAAGCAAAATACCAGAAGATTAATATATCTCAGAACTGCACTTGGAGTTTAGCGGACAGACTTGCCATATACGAAGTACGATTTCAATCAGAAGTCGCAAAAACGTAAAGAAATACTGACAGATGCTGCGTGACACCCGTGTGTTGCTTGAGGCCACGTAACTGCAGGTGGAAAGCATTAGATGGCTCCTAGTTTCTATTCAATAGCCATTGATTCTATGCTTTATATATATATATATATAGAGGGAATAGAGTAACCAGAGAGGTAATCACATGGGCCGCCAGTAGCAGTTCGTCCATGGGATTGGTAAGGAACGCTCTAACGCTACGGTCGTGACAAAGAACCAAGTTATTCGCCCCCTGGTCTCTGATCCTAGATGTGCGCCAACATGCTGTTTATCAACCCCGAGGGATGCTTGGCTAGACGCAGCTAGAACAAGCTGCCCTCTCCTATAGCCCTCGAGTAGGTCTAACACTTAGCCCCGTTATTCGCTTCGTTCCTTTCAGCCATTTGTTCGAATCCTCCGAGTGGCTCAGGAAGGAGCTTACCATTTTTAGATTTGAAAAGTGAATATTGCAATATAACTCCAGTATCAATTCGTATATGTTTGCAACTATTCTATATTAAAGTCACAAGATAAAAATGTACTCCTAAAATTACACTAAAAAAATAGAAATGTTTCAAATTTTAGAAACTTACTAAATTGACACATGCAACAACGTATAATTCAATATATGTACCTGCTACAGCAAAAATATTCTTCTCTAGCTTTAGGTCTCCACCATTTAGAAACTTCGTTATTTTTCGAAATGAGTTGCTAACCGTTTAGGCAGAAACACTTCGCTATTTAATCCTTAAACAAAATCAGCTTCTACTTCTTTGGAGGGACTTTGACTGTTGAAGTCCACTTCAATGCACTTCAATCTCGACCCATAATATTTCACCGGCCCAGGAGAGCTTTTTTCTTGGGTAACGTAAAAAAAAGTGACGTTACATTTAGAAAAAGCAATCAGCCACACCGCGTCTCAGTTTCTTGACGGGAAATAGCAAAATTGTTATACGAGCAGCAAAGCAACAACGAAAATTTGTTATTAGAACAGACTTCTTTATCCTTCTGAGCTTCACTATCTATGCTGTACTACCAGTCATTCATAAACTTGTTTAGCCTAGATTTCATGCTTCACTTGAAAAATAATAGAGACATATAGCTAAACCCCAACGATTATATTGATTTAGATCGGCAGTTGTAAGAAATGGACGGTTACACAACCTAAATCAATCAACACAACCACGGTCCCCACTGAAGATGCCCCTGAAGCTAACGTACATTTCTCGTTGCGTATCAGGGCTATCTCCACTCAATCTTGTTTTCACCAAAAAACAGTGGGCGTTTTCTATTCTGGGTGTAATGGGAAAATGGGGATATCTGACCAGGGGCTGTCGTCTACCGTCTCCTGCCAGTCTCGTCCTTTTTCGGACCCAACCTAACTGAAGTGTGACGTAACATTTATCTCTTTTAGCCTCTCTTTGGGTTCTCCTTTCTCTTTTCTTGTTTCCGCGCACTACGGCTTTTTTCATGCTCTTTCTCTTGCAATGTCCAACCCCCGCCGCCGTCGCCGCCACAATCACCACCTCAACAACTCCTACACCCCTGACCCTCCCCTATTTCGCCCACCTCCATCTTTGTTTCTTAGACACATTTTTTTGCCCCCTTCTCTTTTCTTTCACTCGTTCCCTTTTTCATTCTGTTTCCGTCTGATTTTCTCTTCTACGGTCCTTCCTAGTCTGCTTCTTCAGCTTATTCCTTTCTCGCATGACCTTGGCCTTGTGGCCTTCGCTACTTTTTTTTTTCGAATTTCATTTTTCCTTTCTGTCAGCGAGCCTCTGTCAGTTCCTATTTATGGAGCGAGGTTACCCGTCTAGGCATTTCTGCCATCGTGTGAGGCAACGCGCCCGCACATCCACTTACCGTTTGTCGCTCACC